CCCATCAGTATGCCCGACTGAAATTGCTGGGTATAGTGGATGCGATTCACAACTAAGTTACTTTGCGTTCGATGAATACTACCCAGCTAATTTAGACAGAAAATCCATGTCAGACGCTAACTATGAAAAGAGTGTCTACTTCTTGGGGCACCACCTGAGCCAGCCGTAAGCCCGCCGCCGAAATTAATCCTCTCAGCTCAGCCTCCGTCCAGACCCGAAATACCGCTGTGTCGATATTCCGCTCGAGGAGCGTGTCATGACCTTTCCAAACCTCAATATGCCGCACCACGCGCCATACGTTCCCCTGGACCCCGTTTTCCGTGACCGTCTCACGATACACCACGCCTGGAAACTCGACACTAGAATGCTCACTGGGAGGCAGCGGATCGGTGATGTCCTTGTCCAGACCGCGCTCTGGGTCGACAAGAAGCTTGTTCACCACGGAGATTTGGGCTTGCCCGGTCCCGGGGGTGAGGACTCTAGCCACCTCAGCCAGGAATCTCTCCGGCTGGCCCGGGAGATAGAAGTGCGAGATACTGCCGAATCCGATGGTGAGGAGGTCGACGGTCCTCTTCTGCATTGAATGCTGTCGGTGGAAGATGTGTAGGGCAGACATTTCCAGCGCAGACCCCAGAAGCCAAGTGATGCGCGCACATCCGGTCTCGACCGCCAGAGTGGCGTTGATCGCCTCCGCCCTTGCCAACATGTGCGGCTCGATATCTAGCCCGATAAACTCCACGTTGGCAAGGGAGACCCCGGGAGTGGCCGCTGCATGACGAGTCATCGCCTGGATGAGCCGGCCGGTGCCGGTGCCGACATCCAGTACGAGCAGTGGGGAGGCGGTTTGGGGAGAGGCGATCATCTGAAGGAGGGAATTTTCATTGTAAGCGGTGTCATTGCGTTTTCCGGTCCAGATGTCGTAGTATTCCGCGAGATAGGCGGAGTTGTAGCAGGTGCTTTCCCGCTCGGTGGAACCCATTCTGAGAAAGGCAAATAGGGAGAAAATGGCGCAGAGACGGTCAAAGGAACAATATGAGAGGAACTTAACTGTGAGATGGCAAGCAATACATTCAAAGAATCCAATGCAGAGCCCCGAGAACAAATAACTATACAGGTGGGGCGTATCTGCTGCAGGCGATCGGCCTAATTCATGCACCACCCTAGGGTTGGGGGTGGGGCGGGATTTGAGTTGTGGTTGCCCTAACAAATCCGGAAGGTCTGCAGAAACATGTCACAATTCACTCGCAGGATGCAAGGGGTGTTGTGAAGCAGGGAGTCACATTGCCCTCTTGTGTCTAAGATTTTACATTGCATACAGATATGACCGAGCGCAAGTTACACAAACAATGGATCTTGCATTTCTACGCGCTGACGTATGTTCGGAGATACAGTCGCGGGTCTTAGGGCATATCTTAAACCCAGATCCTCTCGGTACAGACTTCCTCCTCTCATCAAACCTCAGTTTCATTTAGCAACAAGAGCGACCATGACTATCTTGAACCTGCCCCCTACTGTCTCCCTTGCTGGTAAAGCAGCCATTGTGACTGGTAGTTCCCGCGGCATTGGAGCTGGTATTGCCATCGAACTCGCCCAGCGTGGCGCCAAGGTTGCTATTGTCTACCATGCGGACAAAAGCACCCCGGCAGCCCAGAAAGTGGCAAATGAGATTACCACACTCGGTGGTGTTGCGTCCTTGGTGCAGGTCGATCTGTCGACATTGGACGCCGGCCGTCGTGTGATCGAAAAGGCGCTACAGGGACTGCAGGTCTCACGCATCGATATCCTCGTCAACAACGCAGCAGCATATCCCCCCTTTCTTCCAGTTGCAGAACTCGACGGAGCATTGTTCGAACAGTAAGGGGCCGTTGTAATGTTTTGAAGCTTAAAATGAAAGTCAGTATAGTCTGATGTACATTTATCTCGTCTAGTGAATTCATGGTGAATGTTCGCGCTCCACATTTGCTGGTGCAAGCCCTGCTCCCTCACATTGCAGAAAAGGACGGCCGTGTGATCAACATGTGAGTTCCGCCATTCTCTCCTGCTTATCCAGCCTGCTAAGCGCTTGTAGATCGTCCGCCCTTTCTCGCATGGGTGCTAGCAACCTTTCTCTCTTTGCGGCCACCAAGGCGGCGTTGGAATGCTTGGGCCGTCAGTGGGCCCACGAGCTGGCCTGCCTACACAAGATGACGGTGAACAATGTCGCACTAGGCGAGATTGACACCGGCATAGAAGGTGGGGAAATTCCTGACGAGTTTCGGGATGCGCAGATCGAAGGGCCCAGCGCAGCCAAACGTCATGGCACCATTCAAGAGGTGGCAAACGTCGTCGCGTTTCTGGCTAGCCCGGGAGCAAGCTGGATCAATGGAAATACGGTCTCCGTGAGTGGAGGTCATCTTTACATTTAGGAGACAGCTAGATAGTAGCAGTTATTTCTGGATGGTCCAGGAAGCCAGTCTGGAAGCAAATGTCATTTCATTCATTATCCTGTTTACCTCTTCTTCTCAAAAGCTTAGTTACATTAAGGGTGACATCCAGTTAGGAAGATTCAACCAAGTTTAGCTTAGGAAATGAAAATTAGAAGCAATGATGATAATTCCATGCCGGCGCATTTAGGTCTCTGGGTTCAGTAGTAGAACTGGATTCTGCGATATAGTCACTCAGTCATACTCGAATCTAAGTGGTTTCGGAAACATCAATTGAAGTATACATGTGTCCTTTAGTTTCGCTTATTCACTTTTCCGGTGCAGAAGAGTAATCATATATAAAGAGATAGCGATTACTACGTGATACTGAACAGCTTACAGAACGAATCTTGAAGTAGGATATTTCATTTAATTCCTAATCTCCTATGCTGTTGACCTTTCCTGCTCGCGAGCACGAAGCACATGACGCTGTACCTTCCCCGTTACCGTTCGAGGCAAGTCGGCCCTTGAGAGGAACTCGATAACCCGTGGACACTTGTAGGGTGCGCTATGATCGAGGCAATGCTGCCGGAGTTCCACCTTGAGCTTGCGCAATGGATGCTGCTCGTACTCCTTGTTCAGCACTACATACGCCTTGATGATCGAGCCCCGCTCTTCATCTGGAATGCCGATGACCGCCGATTCGAGAACCCCGGGATGCATCTGTAAAACGGCTTCCACTTCGCTAGGTCCTATGCGATACCCGGATGAATTGATAATATCGTCATTTCGCGCCTTGAACCAGAAATAACCGTCCGCATCCTGGTACGCCCGATCTCCAGTTAAGTAATACTCCATACCCTTCGCGTTACGAACCACGGGTCGCGTCACAACCCCCTGGTCGTCGACGTAGCCATTGAAGACATCATAGATGGATTCTGCGCAAGCAGACAAACACACCCCAAGAGCTCCTTCCTCTCCAATGGAGGCTGGTTCCGCCGTCTCTCCTAAGACCTCCAGCGGAACCCCGGGTAGAGGTCGACCCATCGACCCCGGTCGTTGATCATTGGTGGATTCCGTGCAGAGGAAGACTGTCTCAGTTAAACCGTACCCATTGAGTATGGTAGCACCCCGAGTGACCTGTCGCCAGGCCTCAATAACAGACCCCTCAATTGCCTCTCCAGCACTAATGCAGACTTTGAGAGATCGAGGCGGGTGGGTGGCCGCAAATTGCCGACTCGCGGACGTGACGAGCTGCCTGTAGGCCGTCGGAGTGGCACAGAAGCTGGTGACCGGATACTCGTGCAAGATCCTTAGCGTTTGGATGGGATCAAAGGCTAGTCCCGGTGTTTCATCCACGAGCAACGCAGCGCCGTGGTTCCAGGCAGCGAGTACCGCCCACGATCCTTTGACCCAGCCCACTTCGGAAAGGCTCCAGAAGAGACTATCCGGATGGAGTTGGCACCAGTGCTCTCCGGCAATTCGACTGCTTAAAGCTAGAGAGATCTGGCTATGCTGGACTAGCTTTGGCTGTCCGGTTGACCCTGAAGTAAAATAAAGGACGCAAGGCGAGCTTCCCTCCGAATCGACGGTGATGTCTGCGCGATTCGCTTGGCCCATGGAAACCAGGGCTGGATACCCAAGTGCTTCGGGGACCTTTTCATCGGGCCCTACCTGGATCAAATGTTGGAGTGTAGGAAGATGTGACCGGACGGACAAGACCTTCTGGATCTGAGGTAGGTCGCCGATGAAGGCTTTGGCGCCGACTTTCTGAATGCGATACTCGAGATCGGAAGCAGAGAGTGCGCCGGCCACGGGGCAGACCAGAATCCCACTGCGAATCGTAGCACAAAGGATTTCATACCATTCCTGGCAACGTGTGGCCGAGACGACAATGGTATCTCCCTGTTGGACTCCTAGCGCGTACAACGCGGCGGCAACGTGGATGGAGCGCTCACTAAGCTCACGATACGAGACATCGCGGCGCTCTCCCTTCGTTACTAGGACGAGAGCGGAGGAGTCGGCTCTCTGCTGACTCCAGCGATCGATGACTTCTCGAGCGAAGTTGAATAAGGTAGGTTTGGGTCCAGGCTGAATTCGGGTCATCTTGCTACCAATTTGAGAATTTAGTAAGAAAGGTGAGCAGCGTAGTAGCAAAGGCCGATGTATCGATTTATGGATGGATCCCCCTTTTCTTCTCGAAGTGCGTCGCCGCGAAGCCCTGATCTACATTACCGCTACCAAGCAAATATAATGCCCTCTCTTTCTTAACATCACCCCTTGTTCCCCTTACGTTGACGAGTTATCATTGAACCTACCGTGGCCCAGCAAACAGAATCCGTCCACTATAGACTTATTCTGCATAGGCATACTAAAGGTGTCGCCGATGAGAGTTTCCTGTCTACAAGCCACGGGCTCTCATACAGCCAACGAGTACGTAGATCATGATGCAAACCGGGAACCTTGCGCAAGGCGCGATGGAATCTTCATAATCAATTGCGCCCAGCATATGACACGGGGCTCCATAAAAGGGTGTTGTTGTCAACTTTAAGAAGCATCTCAGACACCAGCACACCACCGCTTCCAACAATCATCATCATGCGTTTTTTATGTCTGCACGGCATCGGCACCGGAAATGCCATACTGGAGGCCCAGCTATACATGATCAAACGTCAGCTGCCAGGCCATGAGTTCGTCTTTTTCCAGGGGGAGCTGGAAACTCCACCCGCGCCAGGTAGAATGCTCTTTTCACAGCAATTAGGTTTTGTGTAGGCGAGGGTAAGACTGACCATCGCGACAAACTAGGAGTCGACAAGTTCTTTCCAGGGCCTTACTACTCTTACTTCACCGTTCCCTCTCCGGACACCGTGCTAGAAGCGGTCAACCGCTTGGAGCAATTCATCGACTTCCACGGCCCGTTCGATGGGATTCTAGGATTCTCCCAAGGGGCTGCCCTGGCCGCTTCCTACCTTCTCTACGACGCCAACCGGCCATATCCTCATGCCGAGTTCAGATGTGCGGTGTTCTTCTGCGCAATCCAATGTTGGGATCTCGAAAGCCCCGGGTTTACGCTGGATAAGGAGGGACACTGCCGTACTATTGCAGAGGAAGGGAAATCCTCCGAGGTTCTCGGCAAGACGGACAATATTACAAGCCTTTTTGGCGCCGCTGACCATCCCCTGCTTTGTCGGCAATGGAATGCAGCCACACCGCTACTGTGGCCGTACGGGAAGGCTCCCATGCGTTTGGATCCACTGGCCCAGATCTCGCTCCCGTCACTGCATATTGTCGGCGCCAAAGACCCTTATCGGGCCGACGCACTTGCTTTGCAAACGCACTGCGCCACAGGTAAGGCCCAGATGGTGGAGACGGCGGCCGGACATGAGATCCCTCGTGATCCCGTTCTGGTACGCAAGGTTGCTCAATTCCTTCACACAGCCCCCTGTTCAGCCCGCAAATGAGAATCCCGAGCGCATGGAGCTGGCATCAAACTTTATCGGACTGATCTGCAGCTGAGCAGGGCGACATGGCTAGCTAGAACTGGTCTGCAAAAATGACTTTTTATCATGTTTCTATAACTTTCCTGTTCGTAAATGAGATAGATGGGTTCAATTTCGGCTGCGGTCTGTTTATGGCATAGAGGCCTGGACCAATTCAACCTTTCCCTCATAGAGACGACATTGGCCACCCTGGAAGGGGGCTACGGAACTGTCATTCATCGTTTATGATCTAATAAACTTCTTCCTTGGTTCCTTTTCTTTCTAGTTCTGGATTATTTCCATTATTTTACGATGAACGAACCTATCGCCATCATAGGCAGCGGATGTCGACTGGCGGGCGGGTGTGATTCACCCTCGACGCTCTGGACTCTTCTCCAACAACCCTACGACGTTTCCCAAGACTTACCCCCAAATAGAATTCCCCCATCACGACACAATGCCTCTCCTCGCGGGTATTTTCTTTCACAGGATGTCGCCAACTTTGACGCTTCCTTCTTCAACCTTAACCCCCTGGAGGCGCAAGCTATGGATCCTCAGCATCGACTGTTACTAGAGACAGTCTACGAGGCGCTGGAGGAGGGAGGAATGCCCGTCGAGGGATTGCGTGGTTCCGACACCGCGGTATATACGGGGGTGATGTTCCATGACTATTTAACGCTCAGTAGTCAGGACAATGATTCAATCTCTACGTATCACATTACAGGCACGGCGCCGAACAAGGCCTCGAATCGCATCTCGCATTTTTTCGACTGGCATGGCCCGTCTGTGACGGTGGATACTGCCTGCTCATCCAGTCTGGTCGCTCTTCATCAAGCGGTGCAGCAGCTACGGACAGGGGAATCTCGCTTAGCCGTAGCAGCGGGGGCCAACCTGCTTCTTGACAGTCGTCCCTTCATTGGATTCAGCAATCTAGGCATGCTCTCTTCCACCGGAAGCTGCAAAATGTGGGATACTAGCGCCGATGGGTACGCCCGTGGGGAGGGGATCACGGCCATCCTGTTGAAGCCACTTTCCCGCGCCCTCGCCGACGGCGACACCATCCAATGCGTGATCCGAGAAACCGGGGTGAATCACGACGGACGTACCAGTGGGATTACACTACCTAGCGCAGCGGCTCAGGTGAGCCTCATTCAAGACGTTTACCGTCGTGCCGGGCTGGATCCCACCCAGCCCAGTGATCGACCTCAGTATATTGAAGCCCACGGTACTGGCACCCAAGCCGGAGATCCGGTGGAGGCAGAGGCGCTAGCCACAGCCTTTTCGCTCACATCTACGCCAGACCACAGCGAGATCTGTCCTGTATGGGTAGGCAGCATCAAGACGGTGGTCGGTCACACCGAAGGCGCTGCGGGCCTGGCTGGCGTCCTGAAAGCATCTCTGGCCCTACAACATGGGATAATTCCGCCAAATCTGGGTTTCCAACAGCTGAATCCGAAGGTTGCACCGTATTGTACTCAACTGACTGTCCCAACCAAGGCTGAGCCATGGTCCAAGAGGTCATCATCCTCCGCTACTCCACGTCGAGCCAGCGTCAACAGCTTCGGGTTCGGAGGCACCAACGCCCATGTCATCTTGGAGTCCGTCGGGCTGCCGGAGGTCCCGCCTTCTGGAAGTTCTTCGCAGGCGCCAACATCGTGCTCATCGTCTATTTTCCCCTACGTCTTCTCGGCCGCCTCAGAAAGGTCGTTGATAGGGATGCTCAACCGATACAACGAGTACCTGCAAGCCCGCCCATCTATCGACCCAGCACATCTAGCATCAACACTGGCCGGACAGCGATCCCTTCTTCCCGTCCGCATTAGCTTCCCGGCGTCCTCGCTAGAGGTATTACAGGAACGTCTCGCTGCGATCCTCGCCGCCGAGTCCCCGTCGGCGGGCCACCGCTCCCCATTACGAGAATCACGCATCCTCGGAATATTCACGGGTCAAGGTGCCCAGTGGTCGCAGATGGGTGCGGGCCTGCTCGCGGCGTATCCACCGGTGGCCTCATTCCTCGATAGCCTGGATGCCTCCTTACAATCTTTGCCCGAGGAGGACCGACCTTCCTGGTCCCTACGCGAGGAACTGCAGCGACCCTCCGAGGAATCACGCCTGGAGGTCCCCGAGATCTGCCAACCCGCCTGTACCGCGGTACAACTGATGCTCGCCCACCTGTTACAAGCTGTCGGCGGGGTCTCGTTCGCCGCGGTGGTAGGCCATTCCTCTGGCGAGATTGCCGCCGCCGCGGTCGCCGGGTTCCTACGCCCCAGGGACGCTATCCGCATCGCCTTTTATCGAGGCTTGCACGTCAGTCGCATGCTCCCCGCCCTGCCCAAGGAGGGCCAGATGATGGCCGCGGGTCTGTCCCAGGCCGCGGCGGAAGAGCTGGTCAACACCGTTGCATTTGAGGGGCGAGTGGGGGTAGCAGCAGTGAATTCCTCATCCAGCGTGACGCTCTCGGGCGACGCAGATGCAGTAGCGGAGATGAAAGCCTACCTGAATAGTTGCAAGGTCTTCAACCGGCTGCTAAAGGTTGGAACCGCGTATCACTCGCATCATATGCGCGCGTGTGCTGCCGAGTATCACGCCTCGTTGGCCCGGTGTCAAGTAGAGGTCCTGCGTCCTTCGGGCGACAACGCCCCGCGCTGGTACTCGAGCGTACGATCGGGGCAGGCCATGATCTATGAGAGTCATTATGAGAGTCAAAATGTCGAGAGAAGCATAGAACTAGCCGCATCGTACTGGGTAGACAACTTGGTGAATCCTGTGCTCTTCTACCATGCGGTTTCCAGCGCCATCACAAACCGTGAGATGGAGGTGAATTTCTGTCTCGAACTCGGTCCACATCCGGCCCTTCAGGGGCCCGCCATGCAGACGATAATTGAAACCCGTGGCTTGACACTCCCTTATTCAGGAACCCTTCACCGGAGCAAGGCAGACAAAATGGCGATTTCGGAATGTCTAGGTGACTTGTGGGTGCATCTGGGGAGTGCGGGAGTCCCCAATCTCCAAGCCTTCGGGCACACACCACACAGGCCGGGTCTGACGGACCTGCCGAGGTATCCTTGGGACCATGAGCATAGCTTCTGGGTCCCAGGACCGTCAACCCGCTCTACCAGACGGCGTGTCACGCAGCATACGATGTGTAAAACTCCAGTCCACAGCTTGCTAGGGTCACGAGACGAGCTGGTTGAAGCAGTTGACGCGACCAAAGTGTACCACTGGTCAAATGTATTGTGTGCTGACCGGCTGAATTGGCTGCGCGGACATATTCTTCAAGGGCAGATCATCTTTCCAGCCACGGGGTACCTGGCATTGGCAGTGGAGGCTGCCCTGCAGGTGGCCGCTGGACGACCAGTGCAAGCGATTACCCTTGAGGAAGTTGACTTCCTCAAGGCCCTTCGGGTGAACGAGAAGGATGGAGCCAGCACCACCGTCAGTGCTCAGGTGTCTCGTGATAATGAGCAGGTGGTGCAGGCAAGGTTCAGAGTGGATGTGGACCCGACAGAGGAAACGAGCCGATCTACTCCTGTGGCCACGATGAACATCACGGTCCACCTGGGCAACCCGGTCGAGGATCTTCTGCCCGAAGCAACCTCCTCTCCGTCGCCAGCAATGATGACGGATCTGGATCCCAGACACGTGTACAGCCATCTGGCCGAGCTAGGCTACGAATACACGGGTCCCTTCCAGCGAATTGCCCGCATCCGTCGATCACTGGGAAAGGCGCTCGCAGGAGTAGACTGGAGAAAGGCGGCAGAAGACGAACCAGTCCTGCATCCGGCGTTGCTAGACAATGCGGTACAGGTTCTGTTTTCGGCCTTCACAGATCACCGGGATGGGAGTCTGTGGAACCTGTACATGCCCGTCTCAATCGAGCGGGTCACGGTCAATCTCCCCCTCTGCAGCTCTGGGGAATGTGATACGCAATTCACGGTGGAGAGCTATGTGCACCAGGTAGACCCGCACGGTATCTGTGGCGACGTCTCTATGTTCAATGCCGCCGGGCAAGGCGTCGTCCAGATGGAACGGATCAACACCATGCCCGCCTCCCCCGCCACGGCCGACAACGATCTCCAACTCTTCTCTGAGACTCGATGGGGCGTGGCTGAGCCCAACGGCGAGCTGGCGCTCGGCGGTCGGCGAGCAACACTGGCGATGCTGGCCAAAACCATTGACTGGGAACGGGTGGCCCTGTACTATATCTCTCAAATCAGTGGGCAGTTCGTCGACGCGGAGACTGGATTACGAACGACGGCGGTTGATTTCGAACCCCATCATGGAGCCTTCCTCGACTTTTGCATCTGGCTACAGGAGACCGTCCGCACGGGCCAACACCCGTACGCTTCGCCGCAGTGGTTGAAGGACAGTGCAGAGCAGATAGATCAGATCCGAAGCCAATACTCAGCCGATGACATCGACTTCAGACTCATTCGCATGGCGTCAGAGGTTCTTCCAGCGGTCATCCGACATGATACGACGATGCTACAGAGCTTCATGGCTGATGATACCTTGAGTGAGTGGTATCAGAACAGCCTGGTATGCGCGCCCGCCCAGGAGCCGCTGGGCGCGATCATTGCCCAGCTCGCCCATCGCTATCGTCTGCTCCATGTGTTGGAGATTGGAGCAGGTACAGGCTGTGCTACACGCTCGGTCTTGCCCGCTCTGGGCGACGCTCTCGCACGCTACACGTTCACCGACGTGTCGGCGGGTTTCTTCGACAAGGCGGCGCAGCAGTTTGCCCCCTTCGCCGACCGGATGGAGTTCCAAACCTTTGATCTCGACGTGGATCCCATGGAGCAAGGGTTCAAGGAAGGCAGCTATGATGTGGTTGTCGCCTATGCGGTGCTGCATGTGGCGACCTCGCTGAAGGATGCCCTGCGCCGGGTCCGGCGGCTGTTAAAACCTGGCGGATTCCTGATCCTGACAGAGGTGCTGGGAGATGGGCCCATGGCGCTGGGGCTAATCTTCGGAGGCTTCACAGGCTGGTGGGCTGGTTGCGAGGAAGGGCGTCGCTACTCGCCGACTGTCTCGTTGGAAACTTGGCAGGAGCTGCTGGCAGCCACCGGGTTCTCTGGCGTCGATACGCACACTCCGCTGAAAGATCCCATTGCTTGGCCTATCAGTGTCATGGTCGCGCAAGCGGTGGACGAACAAGTTGGCTTGTCGCCAGAGCCGGTCTTGGAGGAGTTGGTCATCGTCACTGAGCCTAGCTTCCCCCAGCCCGAAATTCTACAGGGAGTGCAGACGCAGTTGGCAGCCCATACACATAACCTTACGCTCTTCCATTCCTTGGAGGAGCTCAATGGCGCTTCGTTTCCCATCAAACCAACAGTGCTTAACCTGGCCCATCTGGACCCGGAGAGCGTAAGGCCATCAGAAGAGGCCTGGCAAGGGCTGCAGACTCTTGTAGACTCCGCTCGACATATGCTATGGATCACTGATGACTACCGCGCTGGTAATTCTTCATCTGCTCTGTCGGTTGGTTTGGCACGGTCTCTGGCTCATGAATTGCCTCATTTGCGCTTACAAATGATCGACATCAGCCGCGAGGCTGACCCTGATACGATCGTTCGAGTCATTACTAAGAGCCTGCTGCGCCTGGTCAGCACGAGTGATCCTGACGCACTTCCCACCCTCGAGCCGGAGCTGGCACTGGATTCGACCGGCCAGCTACTGGTACCACGATTGCACCCCTTGGAGCCGGCCAACAACCGGCTCAACAGCTCAAGGAGGAAGATCCCGGCTCTCATTCATGTGGAAACACAAGCGTGTTCGTTAGAATGGCACAGGGATATGTTCACTTTGGTCGACAAGAGTCCCTTCCATTCGGATGAGGGGATTGACTCTCGCGTCGTACGCACGACCCGCTCGGCATTGACAGCCCTGCCGACCCGTGATGGACCGGTCTTCCTGCACCAGGGCGTCGACTCTGTCACCGGCGAAACCGTGGTGGTGGCCTCCAATGAGATATCGTCAATCTTGACAGCACCGAAACTGTCATCGATCGCTGTGAGCCCCGAGATAAGCCGACACTCCCAATACTTTGGCCTTCTGGTCGCCCACCTTCTCATCGCGTCTGTCGTGAAGGACATCGCGCCTGGAACTAGCGTTCTGCTCTATGCCTTTGATCCTCCAGCGGCCACTTATCAAGCCATCTGGACCTTCCAACTCCAGGCGAAGAAATGCCAGGTCCACTACCTCACAGGCAGTAAAGAATTGGCTACTATGGGGCCGTGGGTGTACTGCAATCCGCGGGCTCCCAGACGAGTTTTGAACGCCGCTTTTCCCAAAGACCTTCAAGCCATTATCAATCTCTCGGACGACAATGCTGCTCCGACACAGACACTGGACTCTCTCCGAGGGCATTTCCAACGATATGCACCTCCATCTGGGGTCGCCGAAGTATTCATTCTGCCAGCTCTTCCGCTACTAACAGACTTGACTGAGCTGCTCAGTGATGCTCATACGGCCGCAGAAGAGTACATCGTGTTGAATGTGAGCGCGCACCATCCAGAATACGGGCTACCAGATCTCCTGGACTGTCAACCTGGGTCACTGCCAGGGGTTTCCATTGTCAACTGGTCCTGCCCGATCCCCCTGCCCGTCCACTATCAGCCCATCGATGCGTTCACGCAGATCCTGCGTCCGGATAGAACCTATTGGCTCGTTGGCTTGACCGGTGATCTCGGCCAGTCGTTGTGCGACTGGATGGTTCTCCATGGCGCTCGAACGATTATTTTAACGAGCCGACGCCCACAAATGTCAAAAGACTGGGTCGAAAAACATCGCCAAAGTCACGGAGCCAATATAATCACCATAGCTGGGTACTGCAGTTCCCTTCGCCCCTTTCTTCCCCCCACCCACCCATGGTACACAAGTCAAACAAGCAGAAGAAGAACCAGACTGACCAAAGTTCACACAGAGATATTACTTCCCTACCCAATCTCCACGCAATCCACAAAACAATCACAACAACATACCCCCCGCTAGACGGCATTGCCAACGGCGCCATGCTCATGCGTGAAAATTTCTTCACCCAAACCACCGCAGCCGAACTACACGAAGTCCTACAACCCAAAGTCCAAGGCCTCCGGTATCTCGACAACCTGGTCGGCGACCAACCCCTCCAATTCTTCATCGCGTTCTCTTCCATCCTCGCCACGCTAGGCAACCTAGGCCAGAGCGCCTACACCGCAGCCAACGTCGCCTCGGAAGCGCTCATCACACAGCGGCGGCGACGCCATCTAACAGGCTCCGTGATCCAGATCTCCCGTATGACGGACGTCGGGTACGTAAAACGGCAGCGGGCTCAGTACTCGGCGCAGGAAATGGCGCGGCTGGAGGCGTATTGTCTGCCGATGGGGGAGCAGCACCTGCATGCCTTGTTCGCGGAGGGAATTCGAGCAGGGCGACCTTTACAAGCATCCCCAGCATCTGATGTAGCCCAGGGGTCAGTGATCACAGCCGGAATTCCCCAGGTCGATATGAATGATCCAGAGGATTCAGTGAGGCGAGGCGTGACGTGGGCGACGAACGTCCGCTTCTCGCACTACTGGAAACAGGAAAACTGCTTGCGTCGTGAGTATGGTGACATGCGGGGTGGTGAGGAGGGCAAGAACGCTGCTTCGACGCGAGCGCGGCTGGCACAGTCTAAGTCAAAGGAGGAAGCCCAGATGATTATTTTAGGTGAGTTGACTATAACCCCCTCTTCTTGACCGGCACCCCAACTGGAACTCTTACTCTTGCTTCTAGATGGTATCGTCTACAAAGTGCGTTCCATTCTTCATCTCCCTGCTGATCAACCGGTTCTCGGAACCACGGCACTAGTGGATCTGGGCGTGGACTCGTTGATCGCGGTGGACATCCGAGCGTGGATCATGGAAGAGTTGGGGGTGGACGTGCCCGTGTTGAAGCTGTTGGCGGGTATTACCGTCGAGGAGATTGTTCGCGAGGCAACGGCAGGCCTGGGTGATGTCACGCAGGCAGCCTGATGAACAGCCGTGCATGTCCATCGGTACAACAGCGAATGGAGTTGTGGTTGTGGGTGTATTTTTTGGGTAGCACGAAACAATATAAGGACGGTCCTTTCGAAAATAAACGCGCTTGTATATCATCGAGTTGCTCGTAGGGGACATCTCTTTGCTTCTATCATTCATGTGATCATCGTCATACGATATCATCACATGTTGTATGCTACGAGTCTCAGAAAGAAGACAATGCCTTTACCCCCCATATAACCTAACATTTGCAATTTGGCTTTCATCTTGGGGACAGTTCTTCGAAACAGGGGATGACCTGAGATGGAAATGAACTACTTTGTACCTATCTATCCCTACGACATTCTGGATATATAAATATATATATATATATATCTGACCTGGAATAATGCTACTAGCTGGTGTTACAACTCCATACCTGCTACTCAAAGTTAACCCAGTCAATGGAAATTCTGCTACCCAGATATTCTTGCCCCAAACCCATCAGGAAAAATACAAAGAAACACTTCAGTCATGAAAACTAGGTCAAACAGACAGTTCTGACAGTAGAAGGTCGTGGCTAGGGAACAAATCAGGACCGTTCTCAAAATAAAGCATATTGGCTCTACGGTATAAAAGTATTCTTTATCCTGCTCACCTGATTACTGAGTCCACCCTCCCCATAAATTGACAAGATAGTCTAATATTCTAATTCTTCGAGTAGTGAATCCTGAATCTCTACTGTTTTGTGTAGTCGGAAGTCAGTAACAATATTTTACTATTTTGTCGCGTATATACACAGTAGATTGGGAAAAGCCCCTGTTCTATCTATATCGTTCGGAACTTATAGGGGAGGGGGGAGAAATCTTAGATATTTGTCGACCTGATGTGTTCCCGGCCACAGGGCAGGTCTTCCGCGACGCTTATTTAATGAACGCTTCAGCCTAATCGTGACCAAGTTGAAACCTGCCCAATGCGTATCTCACTGCCCTCCCCACTTCATCCATGGCTCCGGCCGCTCCTTTCGTTCTGATCAGGGTCAGCCTCTCCAAGCTCTTAAGTTCTGCGTGTCCGACGGTCGCCTTTTGACATCTCGAGGACCTCAGCTCATCACATTATTTTCTCTATAAGCTTGAACCCCACTACTATGCGGACTATGCTTGCGGTCCTAGTTCCCTGTACTGTCATTTCGGTTCTTTACTTGGCCGGCACGCGCCTCCGGCTCCAACGTGAAGTAAGCGAGATGCGTCGTGCGCCGGCAATAGCACCAGCGCCATCATCCGACATGCCTAGTAACTGGATTGACTGTGTACACACTGAGCCGGAGCCGCGCTTCTGGGCTGAATATGGATCGGGTCCAGGGTTTGCAGTTTACGGTTTCCCCTCAAGGGGTGGCTTCTATGTTCTTCGCGAGTGCCTTGGGGTAGAACTGGAATTCCTCGGGATCGATCGATTCGGGAACACCGAACGACCATCCAAGTCAGACCCTGATTGGCAGGCCAAAGAGGAGGCACATTGTGATCGTAGTTCGTTATCCCTTCAAAGCATTGGTCGAGGTGTCATGCTAACACATCTCATTTTTCCCTAGTGCGTCGCTTAGGTGCGAAATGGTTCGAGACCTATCGGGATAAGTTGGAATTCATGTTTTTTCGCACACGCGAGGATACGGATCCGTATGTTTCCTTCGGCTGGCCAGACAGTGGTGGTGTTTGGGTATTGAATACCACATACGGCCGCGCTAGGGAACTGGGCACAGCTATAATTTATAATGCGAAGAATATGGAGGAGCGCTGTGAATTGATCAAGAGATTGGGCGGTATCTTCTACGCGGATCCGAGCGACTGTCCATATCTCGACCTTGATCAAATACAATGCCAGAACGTATAGAAATTGAATGGCAACGTCGACTGGGGTATTTCTCACCAAAGCAATTCCATGTGTTCATGACTACTGGTGGTCTAATTCAGAACGTCAACTAAGGAATTTGATGTTATTACACACGTACAAAACAGAGGGAGATCGTAATATATCCCCCTAAAGAGGCAAAGGCCTAGTGCAGCCCTTTGCGCAGCGCGCGGTTCATTTTAGAACTCGTTCCCCATAAGGCAGGTATTGCAGTGAACCAATGGGTTGTAAAGTACGCGACGGACAGGTAACCGCGACCTTTGGGTTTAGCTAAGGAATACTTGAGATTTACATGACAGTATGATGCTATCAAGCTCCGGCGTAAACATAAACGGCCGGATTCTCCCAAGCACGATTATCTCGGCGACGCAGCAAACTGTTGCGGGAACAAGCTTTTCTAGGTTCAATTCATAGCCGTAATAGCGGCTCTTCTCTAAAATTATTAAATATATTTATCATTAATCTAAATTACTACTCCGGATGCTTTAATAAGGTCTTTTACAACTCTGTCTTTGCGAAAGCAGGAGGACGCCAAGTACTGGCGTCCGACTTTCTGGCAAGCCGTCAATGCGAGCCATTTTTTATTATTGCAGGGTGTTCTCTGGGCGGTAGATAACTAGCCAAATGCCCTCCAGCCTTGCTGAAAAAGTGTAGAAGGCTCAAGCCCAGCAAACTGCTCAAGTCCGGCCTCCGCGAAAGACAAGCTATACCAGTCATAGTCGCGTGATAGACTGACCTGATCGATGGGTGAGTCACTTCGTCCTAATTCATCTGGCGCCCCTAACCCATTCCCGTTCAAGGGAGCTGTAGACGAGCAGAGTTGGGCTTCAAGTTCTTCTGTACGTATCTCAGCTTCAGAGGGTTGCAGCTGCTTGCTTGAGATATCCTCACTTTGATTGTATCCGGCAGGCATTTCGGGATGTTCACAGTCACTAGATGATGCCGCACGACGATCTAAATTCGTATTAGTCTAGCCGAAAGAAACATTCTGGATTGCACGAGCATTTCCATCAACATACCACCTCTTACAATCGTTGGTGTGGCATGTCTTTTATACCTGAAAGAGTCTGTCGACAATGCAGAATTCAAGGTTTCCCACTGGTGATCTTCTGAGTCAAAGTACGACATCAAACGTGGCAATTAGAACGAGATACAACTTACCGGACGTTCCAGCGCTCTCCAATAGACTCGCAGATGATCTAATAAGTGCACAATCGTTCTCACTGCGGGTAGTCTGGGACCATCCCGACAGTCTTTTGTGAATGATCCATTCACTCCACAGTCCGGGCGGGAAATTTCCGTTGCCAGAAGCACAATACCTGCGACAAAAGCACCAAAGCCAACAAGGGGAGGCAGACATGAAATATCACTTCGACCATAGAGATAAGGCGCCAGTAACCGTTCAAGCAGCTCTGCATGTTTTAGAACAGTATCTGCACTTTCTCTTTGCTTATCAGATCTAATTGTTAGGTCAGAAGGGATACCCGAAAGAAGGGGGACAATCATCCAATGGGCAGCTATTTGACATTGGTGGTAGAGCGCATCGTGGATGAGTAATAGGCTTTCGCCTTCGGTTGTTGGATCATTCTGATGACCAGAATTTCTCAAGGTGGTTGACTCATCATATAGAGATGTTGCCAAGTGAGATAACCTTTCGAGTTGGCCAAAATTTTGAGCATTTGGAGCAGAGGTGTACTCTTTGCACAATTGTTGAATTTTTGCCCTAAAAGGAACATCATTTCAGTTAAACCTATACAAGCTAGAAGATTTGCAGGTCAAGATGTGTACTGACCATACACCAACCATTTTCATTAAGATGGCTGCACTCCCAGGGTAGCTGTCACTGCTTATCCGACGATCCAAGGATCTGGAAATCCAGTTCTCATCCATTGTCTGATTTAGAGTTATCGTATAACCGGACGACGTATTGGAGATCAGTCCCGGAAGCGGCACCAAGCCCACTTCCTGCCAGGCCAATTTGATATATGGTTCTGGTTCCATAACGATGCATGTAGATGTCCAGCAAGCCCAAAAGCATCGACGGGAAAGTTCAGATTCGAGCGACTCGTCAGAATAGTCGCTGTTGTCCGTAGACTTCCTGCTATATCCAAGCAGATGACATGAACGATAGGCGAGGGCTGTGAACTTGTCAACACAAGTTCCCCAGGCATTCATAGGCATGCTTTTGACCAATGGTAGACACAAGAGCTTACCAAGACATAAACTGCCAGAATGAAAGTCACCAATGCCAAACCAATACAGCTGCAGACATTCCAACGCTTGGACAATCATCAGAGATGGACACTCTAAGGCTGAGATCAGAAGTTCTCTTAAAGCAGCTTTCGCCCATGGGCGACCGCAAGAATGATATGAGCTCAAAATTTTTAATTCTTCTGCTTGCCCTTCTATTGCAGGTAAAATGTCATTCGAATGATTCCTCGGCTGAAGAAATCTTGGGCATCGTCTTAGCTGAGTTGAACGTGGAGAAGCATTGGAGTCTTAAAGTGACATACAGAGTTGCTAGCGCGAGTAAAGCTTTAAGAAGAGAGCGATGTAGTCTTCCTTCCAGATAATTCTGAAAAAGAGTGGGTTTATGAAATAAAAGAGGTGCGTTATATACGCGCGTAAAGTATATCTCCAGCAGAGAAAGACACAGGGCGGGTGGTGGTAATTGTGTCTGATCTGAGGAACTTCCTGGCTCAAATGCGACAGGCGTCATCGTACGTAGCTGACTTGGGTATGTCTACGGACCAATTAGCTATTGGATAACAGCCCTGGTGCAGCTCGGATCAGCACGCACATTAGACGGAGTACGTGTTCCTATACCTAGAGCCGCCGATGTGTCATCCAATCCAGCGGAACTAGGAAGAAGTGGATCGTCTTCACGACGATTATTAGGACCAAGGGAATTCGAAGCATCATGTCCAGGGATCGGACTGCTTTTCTGAGTCTCAGCGGCAGAAGTTTGTTGCGAAACTGCTTCGTTGCGCCGGCGTTGAGTCCCCAGGCGCCGGCCCCGTGGACCCCGGCGATTTGGAGGCCGCGGATAGTTACATGTTGCACTGAGTCGCTCACATCGACTGCACGTGGGACGTTCGCGACCACACTTTAGCTGGGAGTCATTCGACGTTAAGCGAAGTGGTTCTGGCATCGGAGGGACATGTAGTCACCTTCTGTTCCCGGCACCGCAAACATGCAGTGATAGACGAGTGCGACAAGATTCTGGTATTTTCATTATTTTCATCTCCCCTCCCTAGAATTCGGGTACTGTCCATGGTCTCCAAGCTTCGCATGAGAATGTAGGTTGCATATATGTACGTACGTTCCCACGGGTTATGTCTCATTTGCTCGACGGTAATTCCCAGGTTCCTCTCACCGCCTGCTGTTTTCTCTGCACCTACCTTGTGCTTCAACATCACGTTGTTTTTCGTGGTGCGATCGAAACAGCAACTTACAAAATTGAATCGCGCGGATCTTGCATGCCGTTGTATTTCTCGCTATGAATTGAGTCTCATGGAATGTCTTCATTGCTACCTCTGGAGGGCGGGGTTGTCAATTTGAGCTCCATCTGGTGTGTCTCATGGCGGATTGGCCAAATTCAATTCGGGCCGAATCCCATGTACAGTGGGTATTTGGAGCACCTTCGGAGGGGAGCGTCCGCACTTTGAACCGTCCACCTTATTTAGTATATTGCCTTTATGCGCTAAAGATGTAGGTACTTTGGAATAGCAGTGCGGTGCTGAGAGTTTGCTGAGCCTACATTGCCTATGACCGTTACCAAATGGCTGATGTGTGTGCCAAAATATGAGGCGGTAGAGGGCAAAGCCGAGATTCGGGGTTAGTTTCGCTTTTTGCGGGTGATGCACCTGAGGAACTTCCATGATGTGCCAGCGAGGCGATGAGGTTATGGCTCAGTATGGGAGTCATTCTCCATTTTTCTTCAAATCATCGAAGAAAGGAAGGAGTACCTAAGAAGGGTATAAGATTCAAAGTTGGTCCGAATCGGTCCGAATAGGTATCTGTCAGCAAAAGTTAATTCAATAGTTCACGTACTCCGGCAGGGCGAAGAACTAGAACCAGCCCGCGGATGGCGTGACAGAAAGGTATGTCCTCGGTCTGCAATCACGTGGTAGCGACTGACAATAATATTAAAGGCCTTTCCTGTATTTCCTGGCTGGGGATTACTCCTTCCACACTTCTATCCCTGGAAGGCTCCAAACATGCCACCCATGCTTATCAATCATTTTTTCAAGTCCAACGAGTCCTTTAGCTATGAAGCGCTTCGAGCTGCCGGCTATAGCAACTACGGTGGGGCAGACCTCGGCGAAGTGATAGCTCTCTGTTCCAAAATCAGGCCCGGGAACGAAGATGACTGGCTTCGCGAATGGCAAGGCGCTGCAGAACGGGCATTGTCTAATGCAGAGATCTCGAAGTCCGTGCAGAACAAAGAAAGTGCCTACCATGGATACCTCCGTGCATCGAATTATTTCCGCACCGCCGAGTTCTTCCGTCGAGAAAATGTGGACGAAGACAAAATCTCCCAGTCATTGTATGAAAGATCAGAGACTGCTTTCGTCGAGGCGATGGGGCTGTCTAAGTTTTCCTACGAGTCGATCAACATCCCCTACGAAGGCACATCATTACCAGGATATTTTATTAGCCCTGACAGCTCCAAGAAATCACGACGGACAATCATCTTCAACGGCGGTTTTGACTCGACCATGAGTGAAGGGTGGTTTGCGATTGGAGCGGCGGCTCTAGCAAGGGGCTATAACTTCCTTGCCTTCGACGGGCCTGGGCAGGGTGCAGCTATCCGGCGACAGCACCTACACTTTCGGCCCGACTGGGAGAACGTACTCACCCCTGTTGTTGACTATGCTGTGACTCGCATGGACATTGATGCCGATGCAATAGTCATCTTTGGCTGGAGCATGGGTGGGTTCCTAGTGGCGCGAGGAGCTACGCAGGAGCATCGGGCTCGAGCCATTATCCTGGATGATGGCGTGTACGATTTTGGTTCTGCATTTCGGGCCCAACAGCCGTCCTTTATTCAGAAGCTTGTTGAACTCAGATACGATTCGATTGTCAACCCAATATTCCACTGTGTTCAGTCCCTCTCGACGGGGGTCCGGTGGGCTCTGCGCAACGGGAAGTGGACTTTTGGCGTGGCATCCCCGGCAGAGCTGAGTCGTGCAGTCAACAGATACACTCTGGAGGGGATCAGTCAACATATTACCACGCCGTGTCTGATACTGGACGCAGAAAATGATCATTTCCTGAGAGGCCAGCCAGAGGAGCTTCGGAGAAATCTGAACTGTGAGTACAAATTTGTCAGTCTACGAACAGACGAAGGGGGAGACGCACATTGTCACCAAGGATCCTTCTTTCGATTGCATCAAGTTGTTTTCGATTATCTAGAATCACAACTTAGTCCAGCTAAAGGGCTTTGATTATTTGTGAAAATGTGGTGTTTTAGTTTTGCTGCTTTTCTATATTGTACTCAAATGTACCTTACCCTTGGCCTGCCCTTATCAATCGCTCTAAGACCTTACGCGTCTGTAATCACGGAAATCAATGATCGAATTAGCGAACGGTCACGGCCTATTGGCTTCTAACACTCTTTCCGCATTGGTGAAGGTAACCGGAGTATGTTATTCTAACGCTGAATTGATCATTTCCTAGTCAGGAGGAACCATTGGGGCCATTGGGGCCATTGGGGCCATTCGGTGTTGGTAGAACCCCAGCATAGGCCGGTTAGCCGAGGTTGCACCTATCTCCAACCACAGCTAATAGATGGTTCAATTATTTATCCGATAGTCCAAATATTCCTTCGATTCATAGCCTGAATACCAATGTGGTTATTTTAGTAAAGACAAAAGTTATATCTTGTTGATGACACGTCTTTCATTCGAGCCATCCGCATCTATTCCTGGGAAACAGCCGAAGCAATTCAAGATGCCCAACCAATACCGCAACATTCAAACCACCGACTCAACAAGCTTCCCCTATATATATGAGCAGAACGTGTCTGTGCCGTTGGGAAATCGTGGAGTGGTTCGCTGCAATGTGTATAAGTCCAAGGCAGCTGCAGCAGAAAGCCGGTTCCCAGTGCTTGTGACGTATGGCCCATATGGTGAAGACGTGCCTTATGAGAAGTATGTGAGAAAAGCCAAGCGAGAGGATCAGCTCCGCTAAGTATGACACAATACAGGTTAAATCTCAAAAGCTTCTCAGAAATGAGCCCGACGCATCAAACGCAACACTCTGTGTGGGAACCCCACCCCTCTATTTTGGACAGGCTATAGGTATGTTGTCGTGCGAGCAGACGAAATTGGAATCAGAAATACTCCCGGTGTCTTACATGTCAAATCCGCAGCATTAATCGACGGATTCTGTGATGTCATTGAGTGAGCTGCTGGCCAGTCTTGGTCTTCTGGTAAAGTAGGCCTTCTCGGTGTTAGCTATTATGCTGCCACAGAATGGCAAGTCGCCGCTCGGCAGCCTCCGGGAATAGCTGCTATTGTTCCTTGGGAAGGATTCTCTGATGCCTATAATGAATCCCTGCGCCACGGTGGCATCCTATCGAACAAGTTCTTTGATATGTGGTATGCGCGTCAGGTCGCATCGAACCAAAACGGGCTGCCGGGGGCGATCATTGCGCAATTGGGGACCCGATACCGTTGATGCGGGTCATCTCAGTGGTTATAACACCAAGCAAGAGTTATTACAGTAGTTTTAACAATTCAAGTTAGTGTGTACCCTTGAGTATGCTCACAAAGTACTTAAAACCTCTTTATGGAATCTTGATATCAAACTAACGATATTGGGTGGGGCTATTATACATAGAATAAACAAAAATCTGTTTACAGTTCGTATGGGATCACTATATCATCTCCCCTTCCCTTCTCTTTCCCCTCATCAGCACAAGTGTTCTCAATATGAGAAAGATCACGTTCACTAGTCAGCTTCTTTGTACGTTCTTTGTCGATCGCGGGGAAGTTCAACTTTCAGATCCGTATGTGGAACGTTCCTCAGCCGCTACTAACAACAGCCTTCTCTCCGCCTCCTCCTCACCTTCACTTCTCCCCTCGGCTGCTATCGCCTTCCGTAGACCCAGGTACCCCACAACACCCTGCCCGACCGCAAAAATGGCCTCATCGACGGTCATATACCCCATGAATATCCACCAATGCAAGAAGACCAATAGCCAGGGCTGGGGTGGAAGATGATCATCGGTCGGCGGCGGCGGTTCGTACGCTCGCTCCTGCTTCCCTGGAGGCAAGCGGAAAATCCAGAGGATGGCCGAAAGCGCGAAGATAGCAGCCTGAAAAAGGCGGGAGCGGGCAAGGAGGCGGTTAAGATCTGTTGGCGTGGTCGGTGATGGGGGATGAGACGGAGGAATCATTGTGGCCTGTTCGCGGGCCTCCTGATGATGCTGCCTCCTTGGTTGTCCTTGTTGTCGCTGTCGCCTCTGGCGCTGTGCTTGCTTATAGAAACCCAGAACAGGGAGAATCACCGTCGTGATGGGCAAGAGAAAGTAGCAGTGGATGCCGCGGAGGAAAGGGACTACGTCCCGCTCTGGCAGCAGGCAATCGTGCGGATGGCGCGGCGGGCAGAAGACGTCGGTGGTGAGGTCTAATATGAGCGGGACCAGAGTGAACAGCAGGAAGAAGGAATAGAAAGCGAGGATCAGGAGGATTCGCAGACGATGACGATGGGGTCGGATCGGAGGGGAGTAGTAGAGACACAGCAAGAAGCTGGGGTTGTGGCATTTATAGACAGACAGTCAGCCAGATGGTAGGCATCACAGCGAGATGTGGTGGTGGGGCGGGTGGTTTGGACTTACAAGACGTTGGACAATACCCAGTCCCCTAATTCTTGAGCGAGGTTGGCCCAGTCCAAAAGGGAGACAGAGACCGGCGCTGAGGGCAACTTGGAGATATCCCAAAGATAGGCGGTGTCAAGGGATTGAAAAAAGACATGCTCGGTGATGCAGAGCACGTTAAAAAGCAGGTAGGCAGTGGAGATCCCCCGGCTGTCTTTCGTCTTCCACACATGCTTGATTTGGGGGATGAAGGAGGCCCAGGTTAGGGCAAGGATGATCCTGATTTCATCCTCTGTCAGCACCAGAATACACACCACAACAACGGACAGGCATTTTGGCTAAAAATGGTCATACAAACTGAAAGGGAAAGCGAGAGTCAGCCCCACTGGATTGAAATATTTGGGGAGTGGGATCCTCAAAACGTATGGAATGCTGCGGGATGCTGTGGGCTGCAGAAGATGAGAGAAAAAGTTAGAAAGACAGACTCCCCATCCCATAGTTATATAAACATCGCAAGAGGCATGCCACTATTTTAGCGGCCCCTTAGCGTCTTGGAATCGAAGATGAGGAGAGAAAAATGTCTTAGGGGTAGGGCACCTGCATGTTACAAAGAAGTTACAAAGACACAGAGCACGTGATTATCACAGGGTAACCGGTTGATAAGAAATGAGCTTCAACACTTGGAAGAAATAAAGTATCATCTTTCTAGCTACCGCAAGAGCTGTGATTGGGCTCTTTTTACCATCTCGAACACCCATCTCTAAAAACAAATTTCATGGTAGATGGCCATGATGCTTACCGCCTGGGCATGTAATGTGATATAATGTATATTACAGTACCATACGGTACAAGACAATGCCAGTCCATAATCACAATATAATACATAGGGTTCGGTCATGGCTGCATGCCAGATGAATCCAGCCCTCAATCTTCTTGTATCAAGTGCATGATGGCATCGCGATACGGCGCCACACCCGCGCTTCGGGGGTGGAATGTCCTAATCTGTCGGGTCGGCTTCAACCATCCAATATCCTGAGCCGTGTAATTCCCTGCAGGCTGCTGATGTAGTCGCTTTGGTCGTCCGAGGCCTGCTGTATGGTGCCTTCCCCAGTTATGTCCTGACCAGCCGTTCAAAAAGAAAAAGGAGCCGGGATTTGTTGCATCGGGCTCTTTCACCCCGTTTTCAACAAACGGTGGCCCTCGAAGCGGACATCCACGTCCGCGTAGGCGATGTCCATGGATCCGCGGCGATTATTGGCATCCGTGGTCGCACTCTGGATGAGTTGATTTATGTCATCAACGAGTTCATTTAGCTCCTGCCGCACGCTCGTCTTCGGTGCGGTATAGGGACCGGCGGGGTTCAAGCCCCGGTATCTGAAATTGACTCTGTTGCACTACGTAGTCTGGGCGCTACAGAGCCTGGGATATCGGCAACGTAGAGATGCACATGCTTAACGAAGACACCCAGATTAGCAGGAGGGCTTTACATGAGGCGCAATACAATTCTCAAGCTTACCTGATAGATATCTGCCTGTGCTAGTATATCGCGATAGATGTACGATAGTTGGGCCTGTAGGCCCTTGTCACTCGTGTCCGTCATGAGATCCCGAGCGGCCTGCTTATAATGCGCACAGAAGTTGTTATCCGAGGGAGTAATTGACCAGAGCTGGCATAGCAGGATATAGTGCGTGATAATTTCTGCGAGGGCAACATCGTTGCCGCCCACCGTCACCGTCACCACGCTAGTCTTATCGGTATTTGTCCAGCGCTTGAGCTTGTCACGCAGCCTAGAGAGCTTGTCCCATTGATACTCAGGTAATGTACTCCGTAGCAATACGGAAATTAGGCATGGAAATCTTTGCAGCGAGTGAGGAATCTCAATTCGGGGCTTCCCATGCTCGGAGGATTGTTCTTTTACAATAATTTGTCTATGTTACATAGCAAGATGATTTTGGACAGAATGAGCCATACTTAGCCAGATTGAGCTAGAATGGATGTATAGTTATGAGCTCTTCTGTATACAATGTCATTACTGTGGACTGCTGATAGGTTAAGATATTATAGACGCATGCATATTTCTCTCCCAAAGCTTGATCTGGAAGAATCGTGTAATTGGATGCATTGCTGAAAATTCAAATGACTCACGAGTTGCCTGAGACATGTCGCATGTAGCGTGTTTGAAAATCATCTCCTCCATCGGCTCGTACTATATGATCTCCAAATCCACGGGTGCCGCTGCAGGAATAAAAACGTTGGGCTGTTCGCCCGGCTCCCGTACAGTCCAGCTTCCCGTGGCTGGAATTGTGACTGTCGTCTCCAAATGGTCCTCCCGACTTCCCCAAACCCACCAGTCGAGCCGGAGGCCCTTAAAGAGACACCGGATCCCCTCCCCGGCCCGTGCCTCCCCGCCATCGTTGCTCTCCATGTCCCATCAATCACCATATCATACATCTTTCGTCCCACAATCCGAGCATTCTCATCGACCATATAGGCCAGAAAGTATAATATTACCAGAGATATCCACACCAGGACTTATCAGCCTAGAAACCTTTGCATTTTCCCAGTCAGCTGTAAAAGCTAGCGCTGTGTAAGACCTAGCAACCAGATCAGATATTAAGTACAGATATCAGATTGACCGCCATGATATAATCAAGGCTTCCCTCTTTATAAATCACATATGTACCGAAATTTATTTCATTAATAAGATCTTCCGTCTGCTTGATCGCGCCTGCAAGCACAGCAGCATTGAAAAGATCCCCATAATATGTTAGATTGACATGAGGAGCACTGTTATTGTAAAGAATAGACTGCTAGGAGGAGTAGTAATAACGCTCCCATGTGAAAATGAACACGGGATACTTTGAGTAAGAATAAGTACATAACATGGTCAATGGCCCAGACAGCAGATGCCATAACATCTGAGATATCCAAGACGCCCTGGCAGGAAATGGAGTTAGTCTCACCTATAACATACTTAATACCTGAGTTCGCAGTCACATTACCTTGATAATAATGGTACCAAACACGAGAGAGCATGTTGGTGCGATCAAAAAGAATGTCTTCGATTGTTGGGCCGGCACCCGTATAGTGGCAGTTAGCACCCATATACTAGGAAGCCCCTGTTAGCAGATAGTATATAGATGCATTTACTTATTTTATGCTCATCCGCCTCGTGGTCGGTAACCGTCTTTGCCTGGTCTGGACCCATACCATCTAGCTCCGCATTTTTCAACATTCCAGTCCGTCCTTTCGTCGAGATGGCGAGGTGCCTCAAATGTACATCCTTGCAACAATCTCGTTGCGTCCTTACCAGTCAAGTTTAAAGCTTCGCTACGCGGAAATATCGCACCAATCAGGAGTAAATTCCGGAACCTTGAGTTTAGGAGCTGTTGATTCAAACGTTCAGCCAACCAAGCAAGCCCCCCCGCGTACTCCGACGAAAGAGGGTCCCTGCAGCTAGAGGCCCGCTTTCCTCCGAACATAAACGATCTCTCGTACAGCTGCGACATGAAGGGCATACGTGGAATGAAATCAGCACCATATTTTCGTCTAGAAAAAAAAAAGCACTCTCCAGGCAGCTTATTATAAGGAACTGAAGCGCTTGTCGAGACTCATCTCCCGAAGTGCGCAGCGCCGTTCCACCCCGCACAGAACATTGGACGAAAACAATTCGCCCATTTCAGTGTTTCATCAGGCAAAGGAGACGGGAAATCCTCGTTATTCCTCAGGGCAAGGGCTTATTGTTAAAATAATCTACTCCACCTGATCAATCTACAAAGACCAGTCGACATCCTTTTGTAGCCTCCGTATCTCGGCTCATATCAATAACCCGTGTGTTATCCAACCACGAACTGCTACGTGAGATAAAGAAGAATTACTTATATAGAGAATGCTTTTTCCATGATACCTCTCAGCCTTTCCAAGGTTTGCGATCACAGGCTGACCTTTTGGTCACAAGTCACCAATGTATATGTGACAAATCTACCCCATGTATCATGCTGGCTAACGTAAAAGTGATAGTTGCGTTCCTAAGAAACCTCTTTATCAGATGCCTGGCGTATTGTCTGCTCGACATTGAAGTGTGACGTGCCAGCAAATTATCCGTGCGAGAAGGAGCCTCATTCATCCTCTGCTGTATCTATTTCACACTGTCGAATATAAGCTAGGCAAATTAACATCAACCAGCGGCCTGGAATTCGATCGGGAATTATCTGGGTGTCGACCAATTCCAGCCTATTTGGATTATCCAAGTATCCTCTAAACCCAGTTATGTAGTGTCTAAGGGTGGATAAAAACCTACAGAAGGTCTTGCTGAGGCATCCATAGACTTCTAATTCTATTCTAAAGAGACTGAAAATCACTCTTTTCGAGACACGGAGAAGAGGAAGTCCGACAAACGTCTTACAGACGAATGAAGAACAAATATAAACCTTTGGTCACGACAAACGCTTTGACTGAGGAGTCCACTATCTTGGGCTGCCGAGAACGGATACCAGGCCATCGCCGGGCCACTTCTTGAGAAGGGTGCCTCAGTAAGGTTGAGAGGTAATCTACTTACAATTACTTTATTTTGGTAGCTCAAGGATTTTGTCCTTTTTACTTAGGCGACCATACCCTGGAACCCGATGTATAATATCAACAATGGCAGGTTAGGGCTACTCTAATAAGTAATATTATGGACATTTATCGTGCGGCTAGTGCCGTTGTCGTAACATTATTCCAGAGTGTAGCTCCTGTAATCCAGGGACCAGACAGGGTGGATGATCTGTGAGAAATGTGTTGTCTCAATTCATCTCGCCCGCGGCGTGTCGGTGGTAAATGAAACCACCCCTGGTTCCAAGGTTCAGTGGAGGGGGGGACAACTGCCATCATGTATTGCGTCGCTTAGCCGTACAGTAATGAGACACAATGTATTCTAATAATTCAATCTGCATCAATAAGGAATATTTGAGTGCTGTATTTATAGAAGATCAAAGATACGTATCAGTGAGCTTAGTACCGAATATCCTATGAGATCCCCGAGCACTGGGGGCGGTATGTTGATCACGTATCTCCCTCCAGATGTCGGAACTGGCCAATAAGGCCGAGATCTGGCACAAATCTATGTTGCGGGAGTTTGAATGGCTCCTGCCAGGCACATAATTGGATCCACCGCACCACCCTCATCAACTTGTCGACAAACCACGCCCTCGCTTCTGAGCCCGCTTCCGCAGCAACGGGCGTTGGCAGAACCTTCAGATCCGCCACTACATTGTCTTGAAGGGTTGTCGGGAAAGGTCAAACTAACAGGCCTAGTTAACCAAGAACAGAATTATACAACATTTCAATGAGCTCGATACATACTTTCACAATCTCTGCCTGGTCAAGTACAACGGCACGTTCACCGAATCCAATCCAAGTGCTTGGCAGGTCCAATTGGGAGGCGAAGTGTTCTTCAAACTCTTTTTGGGCCCGACGGATGGCACTAATGGATTGTTTCCCTTGCAGGGTGATTGTAAAGACAAACTGGTATTGGATGGGGCACTCGCCACCAAAGTAAGCACCGAGATCAAAGCCAGTCTCAGCTGGAGTGTTAACAATTAACTTCCGAACTTCGCCTGGCGCATAGTTTTCAAGGCTAGCTGTAAGCTGCGAAACAGTTTCACGCGGAGCATGCTTCCCATGAAAAGCGACAAAATATGCCGCCACAAAGGCGTTCTCCTCAAAGTGGCTTGGCCTTGAACTACCCACACTGGGTATAGGGACTTCCTCCTCCTTCATAAACATAGGCAAAATTGCGCTGAAGTCAGAGAAGTTTACTCCGTCAGGTCCAACTTTTTGAGCTACCCAGTCGGACTTGAAGACTTGCGCCAAGTGTTCTGGAGATTCGAAGTAGAGTTCTGTAATGTCATCGTTGAATGCCCAAGGAGGGTGAGCATTTGGCACTTTATTGTTGGTATCGGGATGATACGCCGCATCAATGAAATGAGTCTGAAAGTATTTCCTGGGGAATATGAGGACCAAATATTTCACCGTATGGAGAATCTTACGCAGGAGTTTCAGCAGGAGTAGGTGCAGTGCTAATTCCTCCGTGCCTCTGGTAGTGATATTCAAAGAATTCCTCCTTAGTCATGCCAGCCTTTCGCCGCACCACGGCGATTTGTTTAAGGAAGGTCATCTTGTGCAAAGTCCACGGGAAGTTTCGTTCCAATAAAGGCAGAGATTGCGGCGGGCCTTCTTTTATCTGAGAAACGCGTCTTTATAATCCTGATTTCGCTGCTAAATGAAGTGACCTGAGCAAGAAGCACAGACGAGTGAAAAGTGGATCATATCGCCTGCCGCATGCTGGAATTGAATACGGCCTGGCAACAACCACAAGTACGGAGTACGTTGGGGATGTATTCCGAGCAGTACCCACCAGACGGAGATGGCGAATCGGGTAGGTGGGCGCGTTGTGCTCGTCCTAGCGAAGGTTCAACACTTACGTTTTCAGGCAGGAAGATCTATCTGCACAACTAGTAAACGGAATACGAGCACGCTTGGCCGGGACTATGGACTTCGGTGGCGTGGGATGTGAATGGTGGCGGGGTGTGGATCGCGGCGGGGTGTGGATAGCGATGGGGTTGTTCCACAGAGAGCGGAGAACTTGAAGATTTGGCTGATGATCCTCTCAGGCGGTTGGGTTGGGGCACATTGGCGACATCCGGAGAATCCCGATCTGCAATGGTAGCTGGATTGTCTCCACCGGCCGCCCAACAAGCAATCATCTACCGGCTAGGTATCTGACTTATTTTACATCATTCTTGGGTGTAGGACTAACGAAGAGCACGTCTAATTGGCTCAGACTATGTTTACACGGCTCCGTTGAAAGGACTGGAGCCGCTATTCTACATACAAAGTCATCGTAACGGGTGTTGAATGGCAAGCTTCCCCATTCCCTGTCCAGCGCCACCCAAGACCTGCAGTCGCTCCAGAGCCTCTTCAGCAGAGCCGCTGAAGACGTCAACCTCAGGCAATTCAAAGTGCTTGCCATAGTGTTCCACAGCCCACTGGAACACTCCCCAGGCACGCTTGTAGTCGTCCCTCCGCGCAGGAATTGTAATTGGACCAGGCGTCCCCGTGACGCGGATAGTCACATCCGAGTTCGTCGTAGCAAATGGCATTCTGAAGCGCGGATCCCTCTGTACGACAACTGACACGAGTTGTGCATCATCGGCGGCAACGCAGCGCGCTAGAAGCTCCGCGGAGCTAGGGTCCGTCTGACTACCCACTGCGTCGAAGCCACGTCTCAACTTACCCCATTGGCCATCCTCGAGGGATGCAGCTATCTCAGAGACGACGTTGGGGGACTTGTAGTCGAAGCAGCACGTGGCACCCAGACGCAGTAGGAGGGGATGGTTCTTTGGCGATGCTGTCACGAGGATAGGGTGGATACCGCTCGCTCGAGCAAGCTGCACTGCAGAGAGCCCAACGCCACTCGAGGCTCCCCAGATCAAGAGCGGTTGTGGCTGCTGGTGCGGTTGCGACTCTTTCGCACCTTGCAAGTTGCTTGGGAGGGGGAACTTGAAGATGTTGTAGAGGGCATCGCACGCCGTCATGACCACGACACTTAGGCACGCAGCATGGTGCTGAGGGAGGTTGATGGGAACCGAGAACGCCATCTCATCAGGACAAGCCAAGTACTGCTGATGGGCGCCGTATTTTGCAGGCCTTCCGATCCCAGTAGGAGTGTACCCTGCGACGACTTCACCGAGGCGAAGGTTCGATCCTGGAGGTGTTTTGATCACCTTGCCGCAAAAGTCATATCCAAGGACAGAAGGGTAGATGCCTAGCAGTGTAGCATGCTTGACATCTGCAGGGTTTGCGCCGGAGTAGAGCGTTTCAATTAGGAGCTCTCCATCACTGGGAACTGGGATTCCTTGCTCGCGGCGTATTTCGAATCCGACATTTTCATTCACATATAGGGCGGTGTTTTGCTGGGGCTTCATGGTGGATGTGGTTGAAGATACCGAGAAAAAGAATGATGCAGGTCTGGAAGAGTTCCAACACTTTCGGAGGGGATGAGCAATGGGGGAATATGGTATGAAGTGTGCGGTGCGCAGCACAACCGGAAGAGGTCTACCCCTTGATACTAATATGGTGGATAATAGTTATCACATCCTAACCAAGGGAAGCGTAAGAGGTGCCCAAAGAGTGGGGTATCACTGCATCCATGGATTTCCGTCCCAGCTAAGTAACAGCAGGCTCCACTGCCTACGGCACAAAGTCGTACTTTCAAGCCGAGGGATTTGCAGCGAGTAGATTATGGAACGGCATTTGCAAGTCCGTCTCCCTGTGGGCTGCTAGCTTTGAGGCAATACGAAGCGAGGTAGAACACGCCTTTGCATTATTTATTTTGCTGGGTGGGCTCTAAGTAAATAGGACAATCCCTTGCACCATGCTATGACAGTAAAGCTGCTCTTGAAAAGCTATTAAAGGGAGCTGTTATGTGGTAAATGGTATTCCAAACCCGTCCGTGTGGAGCTGATTGCTATCCATAGAAAGAGAGCATTGAGCTTCCATCTGGGATTCGGCAGCCCTCCGCGGGCTAAAGTTAGTCCTGTTGACGTAGATAAATTGCCTGATCCAATTGAAAGAGTCTTGTCTGTTCGGAGATGGTCAATAATTGAAGTCCGAAGAGCCGCATAGTCACGGTCGGCTTCGAGGCACACCCCACTGCAGGGTCCATAAGGCCCACCGCTTGGCTTGCGGGGTGGAAAGACCGCGAGGAGGAGCGGACGTTGCAGGTCAAGAGGGCTCGAATTATGCAGTGGCTCGGATGTATCTGTAGCGGGCTACCGCGGCAAGTCGGATGTTGTAGTTGCAATACGTCCCGGTGGACCCAAGTCCTTTCCTATTAAAGTCTATGTCGAGGTCATACCTACCTCCCGAGACTTGACAATCCTATCCTCTCGAAACCATGGCCTCTGGATTTGACACAATGATCCTCAAGACCGATACCTGCAGGCCCAGAAGGCCTATTGATCCTCCTACATCAACACTCTTGCCTGCTGGCCATGTAAAGCAAGCAGGCAGCCGAGCCCTTCCAACTGCGACGCACTTTGAGCATAACCACATTTTTACCCTAAGAGATGGTGTTAAGCTTCGTGCAGACATCTTCCGCCCTGCTACAGAAGCACCGGTTCCTGCTATTGTCATGTGGAGCCCGTATGGGAAGACTGGCTCGGGGCAGCTGGGTCTTGATGCCGCGGCGCTGCGAGTGGGTGTTCCCAAGGCAAAACAATCAGGATATGAGTCTTTCGAAGGGTGAGACGGTCCAATGTCCCAAGCATAATAAGGTTCTTGATTTCAGCACATGCTAAAATTCAAATAGGCTTGATCCCGCAGAATGGGTTCCCAGAGGCTACGCGATCGTCAACGTTGATGCGCGTGGTGCAGGAGACTCCGAAGGTGACCTGCGTTGGTGGGGCTCTGGCGAGGGCAAGGACGGCCACGATTTCATCGAGGAAATTGCGGTCCAGCCGTGGTGCAGCGGCCGTGTCGCATTAGCTGGTAACTCGTGGCTTGCCATGGCGCAGTGGTTCATCGCTGCTGAGCACCCACCCCATCTTGCTGCCATCGCCCCGCTTGAAGGGGCGGCCGATGTGCTGCGCGAGACCCAAGCAAGAGGCGGCATTCCAGCAGTTGCCTTTTCCAAGCTGATCCAGTCCATCTTGCCAGGTGAGCGATCAATCAGCATGTCATGAAAGCGAGATGGTAGTTGATCCGTTTATTGTTAGGCCGCCAGAGACAGGAAGACACGGCTGCCATGTTGGCAGCAGATCCGAACAGGAATGCTTACTGGGACGATAAGCGCGCTGATTTCAGCAAGATCGGCGTCCCCGCTTATATACTGGGGAGTTACTCAACGAATCTGCACACGCTTGGCGCCTTTCGAGCTTTCGAAGAGATTACCCATGACAAGAAGTGGTATGTGTAGTGGCGTAATGTTCACGCTTTGCTTCAAGTGGAACGCAGCTTACAAACTCGACAGGTTTGCTACCCATACAACCCAGGAATGGTATGATCTGTACAGCAAGGAACGCACGGAGGATCTTTGTCGGTTCTTCGACTTCTATCTCAAGGACATCCAAAACGGCTGGGAACAGACGCCTCCAGTTCGACTCTCGGTTCTAGGGTTCAATCTGCCCCATGAGACTTATTCGCTCACGCAATTCCCGTGGACAACTCCCGGCTCGAAAACGCTAAAACTGCACCTCAACCCCGATAAAACCATGACAGCCACCGCACAGTCCGGACACAGCAACGAACCAACTGTCTTGTCCTACCAGGCAGACGCCCCAACAATGAACCGGGACGACGCAGACGGTGAATTGCTCTTCAAGTACACCTTCTCTGACAAAACCATCATAGCCGGCCCAAGTAAAGCAGTCCTGACCCTGTCTGCCGAGAAACAAAATGACCTCGACGTCTACGTCATGCTGCGCAAGATGGATCGGAATGGCCGCATCCTGCAAAATATCAACCAGCCATTGTCAGACCTTGGGGTTGCTTCCGCTAATGATGTTCCTTCCGTGAGCGTTCTCAAGTATCTTGGGCCCGATGGTAAGCTTCGGGCGTCGAGGCGTGCTCTAGCTCCAGAACTTTCCAAGCCGTGGTGGGGGACTCTATCTCATACTGGCAATGAACCTGTCCCTGTGGGAAGCACCATTGAGCTTGATATATTCTTGTGGCCGACTGGGATGATCTTTGAGGCTGGGGAAAGCGTCGTCTTGAAACTTGCAGGTCATGATATGCGACTTGTTGACTTCGAATTCCTACGGGGCTCTTTTCAGGTTGCCAATGAAGGAAAGCACTTTGTTCATGTTGGGGGTGGATATAACAACTTTGTTGAACTCAACATCCTATGACCTGAGGCTGATCGCAGCGAAGGAGGAAAACGTACAACAGAGATACTTGCCACTGGGATCATAACTTGCTCATGAGCAGAACGAGCGGCTCTAATACCGTCAAATATGCGAATTACCATTCTACACGTCTGCTAGATCATCTCGTTCTAGGATTCCAACCCGTGAAAAGTACATAGAGTTGTTGTACGCTGATATTGACAGCCATTGTAATAGTTCAGTTGCTGTGACGCCGAAGTCCAAGGTTGCGTTCGATATGGTATACATTCAGGGAATCCCAGAGCCCAAAGCCGGATACCGCCACACCGATGGGATCGCCAACCATAAGCCGGCGGGGCCAATGCTACAATCCCTTTGGCACCAATGATAGATTTAAGTACTCCCACCTGTTGTGCCGTATTCGTCGGACGTGCGTTACTACAGTTCACATAAACCAATTCACTCTTTTTCACTCACGGCCGTCCGCGTATCATGATGTCATCGAGAATACCTCACTGTATGTGAACAAAAACACGGAACTTGGTGTTCGTCAACAACAGGAAATCTACGCGCCAGGTGACGGGGAACTCTTGATAGAGATAATATATTCTGGGATTAATTCTGCCGATATCAAGCATGCCACTTTACTCAGAATCTATTCTAGTGTTCTTAGATATGATTTCTGTGGCAGGATTATCCTAACAACTCCTGGTGCCAAATTCTATCCGGGAGACATTGTCGCCGGATATGACCCACTGGTGTTAGCCAGCCTGCCCAATATGGCTCTCATTAGCGCTACTTGATCTGTCCTGAGGATATGGGCCTTCTCAGTCGTTGAAAATCTCCCTCCATGTCAGGTCCAAATGGCAATAAGTGAGAAAAGGCGAAGGCCTTCCTTCTTGCTTTCGGGAGACTGTATGTGGCCCTTCTGTTACCTTGGGTAGTTTACATGTGTTCTTTGTAACAGAAATCATTTTTATCCTAGGAGGAACTATTTGATACACGATGCCGTTCCCAATAGTAGGAATACCAAACCCGAGGACCTTTAATTACAGCTGCTTCGATTGGAGCGCTTCGATTTTACCTGTATTAGAGGGAGACCTTCATTTAAACACTTCCGGTTACATCCTCTGTGTCGTTGACGAGAATAGCCGAGATGATAGGGTGTAGGAGAGGGACTTGGTTCCTAGTGAGGAGGAGCACATCCCAGGGAATCACAAAAGTGGGTTGAGCATCCATTTGCCAGCCCAACCAAAGCAGGTAAGTTAATTGATCCAAAGCACTATTCTTTTGTCGGCGTATGGCTTAAGCATGGCCACAAGTCGGGTGAGTGCTCCTCAGGTGAGAGTAGGGTGAGGCCACCTCACGAGCGGGTGACTTGGGTGAGTCTATCGGCACTTAGTCTGCTGAGCTCATCTAGTGCACCAATAGAATTCCAACAGGTCTGAGTTGCAAAGTAGTAGTCCCTAGTTGGCAATGTGGTGGGCCAATCAATGACTAATGCATGCAGGTCTATAACAAGTAGTATCTCCTTCCTCCGAGTACCCACATGGTCCTGCATCGACAGCTGAGAGGACCCCGCATTTGTCCCATGATCAGAACTCCACGCAAGCTCCAACACTTGAGTTGGAAGTGCGGAGGGCGTCGATCCTTTTGAGGGTCAGGTAAGCGGCGGTCACCCCGCAAACTACAACTGCGGGGTGCAATTATGCTTGGAGACGCCAACTGCCATTTAAGCTGGGACCATGAGCCCGACCATAATACTACAGAGCACACTCAACCGGTATCATGGCTGGCGGGACTTCTATTGTCATCATTCCCTTATTATTTGGTTGCTGGGTGGTTTGGAGATTTGCTCGCTTTGCTCTCTCTGCTCGGCGATCACCTTTTTTTCCTCCTGGTCCATCAACAGTACCCTTGTTAGGTGAGTTTGTCCGTTCCTGCCTTCAGCAGCGACTTACTCATAGCAATATATCACTGAAAGGCAACCTGCATCAACTACCTACCAGCAAGGCTTTTCTTAGGTAACCTGAAGAGGGATTGATCGATAATGCTGGATACATGACTGATTATATCTGCAGATTTCAAGAATGGGCAAAGCAATACGGCCCCATCATTTCAATCAAAACAGGCCCTGGCAATCTCGTCGTCTTAAATTCGGCAAAGGACGTAAAGGAGTAAGCATTTCCCGCCACAATGAACCACAAGTTAATCTCGTTCATATTGATTCTTTACAGACTATTTGATAAGCGCGGCTCCATCTATTCAAGTCGCCCACCGAATCACATTGGCAACGAGCTCATTGCGCGCGACAATGTGCACCTACTCCTTATGCCATACGGACAGGCATGGCGAAACCAGCGCAAGATATATCAGGCTCTCGTCAACATCTCCGCTGTCCGCTCGTTGCAGCCAATCCAACAGGCAGAGTCCTCCCTGACTATCTGTCAACTCGCCCAATCCCCAGCCCGGTACTATGACCACATCCGCCGATACTCGACCGGAGTCATTCTCTCTTCGGTCTTTGGCGTCCGCGGGCCTGAGTTTAACCATCCAAAAGTCACCCGCCTCTATCACGTCCAGGACCAATTCACCGCGATTCTCGAGACCGGCGCAACCCCTCCCGTTGACGTCTTTCCTCTCCTCAAACGGCTCCCGGATTTCATCTCTCCCTGGCGGCTCTGGGCGCGCCGGATCCGCGAGGAACAGCGCCAGCTATATTTTGAGCTACTACAGGACGCTAAGAATCGACGGGCTCGCGGTGTTCGCCGGGATTGCTTCATGGACCAGTTGCTGGATGAGGACTTTCGGAAGAAGTACGAGCTAGACGATGAGCATATTGCGTATATTGGTGGGGTTCTGATGGAGGGCGGGTCAGATACAACCGCGTCCACGCTGCTTTCCTTCCTACTCGCCATGACTAAGTACCCCCGGGTCTTTAAGAAAGCGCAGGAGCAAGTGGACAGTGTATGTGGGCCGGAAAACTCGCCTTCCTTCGAGCATCTCGCCGAGTTGCCTTACGTAAAATACTGCGTCTCAGAAGTGAGCGCCGCCGCCCACTCGTGGTCTTCCGCCGCTATGATAGGGCTCAGTCACTAACATGCTGTACAGGTCCTACGCTGGAGGCCCGTTGCTGCGGGGGGCATTCCCCATGTTCTGGTCCAAGGTATCTATTTCTCTCTATTACGGAGAAACCATAGAAATAAGTAACTTAAGGGCCTCCGCAGACGATGAATACGAAGGGTACCACTTCCCCGCGGGAACGACTTTCCTGGCAAACGCATGGTACAGTCGCATACACTCTAGGTCCTATCGCAGACTCGCTAACTTTCCATAGGGCAATCCACAACGATCCAGAACTATACGACCGACCAGATGAGTTCCTCCCAGAACGCTACGAACGGACGCCGCTAGGCTTTAAGCCAGACGTCGCCGACGCAACGGCGGACGGCATCCGCAAGACGTACGCATTTGGCGCAGGGAGACGGATTTGTCCCGGTTCACATCTGGCGGAAAACTCCCTGGTACGTGCTCTATTTTCCCATTCCTGTTCCCTCCCCCTTCGTTACGACGACGACCTTGATGGCGTAGCTAGCTAACAAAGTCGCAGAATATTAACATCGCGAAAATCATTTGGGCCTTTGACATTAGTCCTGGAATTGACCCTGCTACAGGACGGCAGATGCGAGTGGAGGATGTCAATGTCGATATCGCAACGCAGTGGACGGACGGGTTCCTTATTGCGCCGAAGCCGTTCCCGATTCGGCTTTCGGTCCGCTCAGAGAAGCGAAGGGAGGTGTTGGATAGGGAGCTCAAGGAGGCAAGGAAGATCTTTGATTGTTATGAAGACTAGCTAGGTGGAGTATTACAGACTAGGGCTGCTGGGTGGTGGGATGTGAGTAGGTTTGACAATTAGTCCAATATGGAAGGTGTACCCCACGACCCATCTCGCAGAGGAATGATAGGGCAATCGCTCAACTGAGCGCTCAGGTTAAATTCTCTTTAGAGAAGTGCATAGGAGACCTTGGAATGCCACCAGTCGGGCAATACTCGGAAACGACCATTTGGGTGGCTTGCAAATCTTTCGAGATCGCGCAAATGTGATCCCAGAGCTAGGGGCTGCACTCCAAGGACGAGAGGCCCATGGATGTTATAGTAATTTGACAATTGTTGGTGTTCCAAGTCAACCATTTCTAAAAGGTACTCTCCCTGATCACTCATAAACTCGGTTGACAAAGACCATATTTCACCGGGCTTCTGGGAAGAGCCACTGCGAGATTGCAATATAGGCTCAGTTCTCAGCTTACCCAGTATCTTGCTGCGGATGATGTCCACCGGCGATCTCGTTTGCCATGAGGAAAGTCATTGCAGTTAAATGGGCCAGTTATAAATAAGTTGTGTTCGATTGAAACGATGCATTGCCGCAACAAAAGCGTCGACAACACAATCAAGTAGAGTGTGGTTCCATAACGGGCCTTCATCAATGTCTTCGCGACTCGCTGTGAGTAGAAAATCGCCTTGAATGAAAACCCAAAGCATCTTAGCTAAGTTTTCCGCGGTTGGAAAGTATTTTACTAACTGACAAGCCATATTTTCGGATGGGAATAAAGTTATAAACATAACAATCCTCAATGACTGGACTGAGATCGTCGTTCACGGCAAAAGTAATGATCAGTCCAGTTTCATCAATGAATGGCCTCTGAGCGTTCTCCGGTAAACCGCTGAGACATTGCTCTTGCACGATATATTCGTTGACAAACGTGTCAGAAGACGAAAGTTTTATGCTTCAAGGAAATAGAGCTTCCTTGTACTTTCAATACACACTGACTTCAGTTTTCTGATTCCTAGGGGCACACGCCCCAGCCATGGCGATGGGCGACAATCACGTTAGCCTTTTCCGATCCAGTGCAAAGAGCAAATTATTTCATATGTATTATCATCGATGTATTTTGCTTATTGATTATCTGATGAATAATTCTACTCATCACGAATGACATTCTCAATCATCTGTCGGCAGCACCCAAGATACTGACATGGATCACAAAGGGACCTTAGCTTCTCCACTCCGACTTCAGCTACCAGACTTTTATCCTGTTGAAGAACATCAATCAAGGGTAGATTTCTCTCAATCGCTTTCGTACAGGCCTCATATACCACATCATGTGCTCTCTGGCGACCAAGTTTCGGTGCAGTTCCCATCATCACTGCCTCCGCAACAATCAGGCCCTTGGTCATGTTGAGATTGTTTGACATAGCTTCAGTGTTGACGAGAAGGCCCTTCATAATAAAATTTGCTTGATGTAGCGCGCCACAGCATAGGACAAATGAATCTGGAACGCAGCTCCACTCCAAGTGCCAGGGGCCAGAGGCTCGTTCGAAATCGGATACCATGGCATCCAGAGCCAATGATGCGTTCGACCGAAGCAACTTCGAAGAGGCAAGTATAACTTCGCTTGATATAGGGTTTCGCTTTTGAGGCATGGTTGACGACGCTCCCCGAAATGGTACAAACGGCTCAGCCACCTCGGCAACCTCGTTAGACGACATGATGATGATATCTAGAGCGAGTTTCCCTAAAGATCCCCCGATAAGTGCTACAAAGTTGATGATTTCTGCAATGTGATCCCGTGCCACATGCCATGTAATTGATGGATCGTGTAACCCAAGCTCCGTGGCAAGTTGTTTTCGCACCTTTAGACCGGTATCATCCGAGCCGAGTGATGCCAATGTTCCTGCTGCGCCGCCGAATTGGACCAGCAAACATCGACGTTCTATTTCGGTCAATCGTTGGATATGCCGTTGGATACCAGAGAGATATACGGCGCATTTATAGCCAAAGGTGATTGGAAGAGCATGTTGGAGATGGGTCCTGCCTGCCATGGGTCTTGGAAGTGTCAGCACCTCTTTAACAGTGTTGCATTTCTAAGACGTACGTGTCGGCATATTTCTCCGAAAGAGACTTTAGAGTTGCATCCAACTCATGAAGGTTCCGACGGACGATGACAAGTCCTCTACGCATTTGCACCATGGAAGCGCAGTCCATGATATCTTGTGTTGTGGCACCCCAATGGATGTACTTGGCATGTTCCTCGGGCACCATCTCGGCCAATTGCCACACCAGCGGCAAGACAGGATACCCAACATTTTCGGTGTCTGCGGCCATGCGGTCGAGGCTATTTTCATAGATCTTATCAGTCCATAATTGTAGGGTTCGGAAAGGGGGATACATACTCTAGGTTTTCGTACTTGGCGTTCTCTGCGATAACATTGGCCGATTCGTGTGGGATAACATTCACCTTTGCTTCAGCCCGCGCAAGAGCAATTTCAACTTCAACCAAGCACTTGATGTAAGCTTCATCTGAGAATATGTCGCGAATCTCTTCCGTTCCAAAAAGGTTGCGGAAAATGCGGGAATCGACCGCACTGTTCAACATTGTTTGGGATGTGTATAGGTGATGCTGCTATGAAAAAAATTGAAGGTATGCGCAGTGTGATGATTGTGGCTGGTGAATATCCCTTTTGAATGAGAGCGATCGGAACAGTCGCTGGTATCCCGAGACTTCGCTGGCATTATCCCGGAGCTTGGTACTATTCCGACGGGATAGGCCTTATCCCGAAATTAGTCTCCCGAGCCAGCCCTATTCCATCCCCGCAATTTCGGGCTAACCACGCGTCACTCTTCTTGGCTAGCACGGGGTACCTACATACCCCCAGGCTCATCTACAATATCATCCGGGGGAGAGTGTCTGGTTGTGGGGTAGCCCGTCAACTATAAATGCATTCAAAATGGACTGCACATATCGTCAACCATATTTTTTTTCCTATTTTTGACAACGATCGAACAACAGTGGTCATCAAGTATGGCACTCCATGGTCACGCACTGTCGCTTGCCCAGCTGATTCTGGTAGTATGCCCTGCCTTCTTTCTATTTGGCTACAATCAAGCCGGCGTCGGTGGCCTCGTGTCTGTGGAAGACTGGACCACAACCTTCCCTGAAATCGATACCATCCACACGTCAGGCGCAGTGAAAAGCCACAATCTAACAGTCCAAGGGGTTGTTATTTCGACATTTACCCTCGGTGCATTGGTTGGGTCTCTTTCATGCTCATTGATTGGTGACATCTTGGGAAGAAGAAAGGTCATATTTGCAGGCTCACTTGCAACGCTAATTGGGGAAGCCCTATGTTGTTCCTCTATTGGGCTCGCTCAGTTGATTGTGGGAAGGCTTATAATTGGAATCGGCATTGGAATGCTTAGTGGAACAGTACCTGTCTGGCAGACCGAATGTTCATCAGCACATAATAGGGGCAAACACGTTGTTCTGGATGGTCTTTTCATTAGCGCTGGGTACGCAATAACGTCGTGGGTTAACCTGGGACTCTACCAAGCCAAAACCGGTTCAGTTGCCTGGAGAGTGCCACTGGCAATTCCGGGGTTGGTTTCGCTTATCCCTATGTTTTCAATTTTCTTTCTCCCAGAATCTCCCCGATGGCTTGTTCAAAAGGGCCGCCTTGAGCAGGCTCGTGCAACATTAGTCAGTCTGAACAATACATCAGCCCAGTCGGAAGATGTGAACGGCGATATTGCGGCAATCCAGTCAACACTAGAGAATCACTCTCGTGGTGTCTCAATAATGGATATTTGGCGGCCAAACGATGAAAGGTTATTCTACCGCTTCGCTCTGTGCATCCTGCTCCAGTTCTACCAGCAAATGTCGGGAGGTAAGTACCCATAGAAAACACGCCCTACGTGTATGCCTACCATAGCTGACGCGACTACTTTTAGGAAACCTTATCTCAGTCTACGCTCCAGTTATTTTCAAAGATAACCTCCAAATGACCAGTATGATGTCTCGAATACTAGCTGCCGCGACCCTCTCGTGGAAGTTCCTCTCGTGTTTCGTGGCTTTTTACTGCATCGATCGGTTCGGTCGCCGCGTGGTGTTTATTGTGAGCGGGTCGGGAATGTCGCTCTGTATGTTGGCCTTAGCAATCACCACGAGCTTTCCACATACTTACAAGCCCGCTTCCATTATTTCGGCGCTTTTTATTTTCTTGTTTAACTTCTTCATCCCCATCGGATTTCTGGGTGCCAACTTTCTATACTGTACCGAGGTCGCGCCGCTCCGGCTGAGAGTTGCTATGGCTTCGATCTCAACTGCAAATCATTGGCTTTGGTAAGCTTCCATTCTTGCTGCAGACATTTTCTTGGAAAGTGCCAGTGCTGATTTGTTAGGAATTTTGTTGTCACGATGATAACTCCTGTCGCAATCAACAATATTGGCTATCAGTATTATATAGTATATGCCGTGATTGGTGCATGTATCCCGATCTCGGTGTATTTCCTGTATCCGGAAACTGTGGGGTGGAAGCTGGAAGACTTGGATATACTGTTCAAACAAGGGCTGAGTATTCGAGGAATTGTTAGGTCGTCTTATCGGCCTCGAAACTGTGATGCAGAAGGCCGGGTTTCATTTGAAAAAAGTGAGGTTGAAGAAGTTGAGCATAAGGACCTTTAGGTAGGTATCATCGGATATCAGTAGGATTCGGAGTCAAATATGGCAATATGTTATTCCAGAACGTACATGCCTCACAATACTCAGTAAGCACGAGCATTATATTTCAGCTTGTAAAACATGCCATAAGTGGGAATCATACAGCTGTCCGAGTTGTAGTAATATATATTTTGCACTGCTGTCAGTACTATACCACTAAGTTGGGAGAGTAGCTGAAAGTTGACTGGGCTCTTAGTAAAGTTGGACATTTATAGCCTTAATCCTAGCTTCGTTCCTGGTTGTTCTACAATATTGGAGCGTCGTTTTGCGAATTGCTGTGGCTGAATCACATAGTCGATCTATTGTGGCAGGTGGAGCGAGTACAGTTCCGACTGCTGTCTCGGTTCTAGCCGGGCTCACGTGACTAGGTGCTTGCTATGCCTCAGGTGACCCACTTGGGACTTTCCCCGCGCCTCTACATTCCCTGGGCTTCAATCTTATTAGGATAGCCCTGTACTTCTGGGATACCAGGTATAATGGAAGCCATTGGAGAAGGGGGTGCTATACCCGGGCTGCAAATCTCGTCTCAAGTATGGTGTGTTTCCGTCTCCCAAATTCTTTTGGATATGTTATTGACAAACAAATTTTCAGCGATCGTTGCCGCATGTATGTTAGATCCTCTGAAACTTATGGATCGTTGGTCGGAAAGAAGCTGATTCGGTATCTTCAGAAAGAAGATCCGCTGTGACGGATTACTCCCATCGGTATTGCTCCCCGAACCACTCTATAGATACATGGATTGGACTGATACGGTGGGACCCACGTAGTGTAGCAACTGTAGAACCGCTGGAGCTTCCTGTGTCACATCTAAGCAACTCAAAAGACGAACGCGGCCCAGAAGGTTAGTGCTGTATCTCGTCACATTTATTTAATTTTCCAGGGATGATGTTAACGAATTTGTTAGGCACCTTGAGCAACAAGAAAGGTTGCTGGATGAGCTCAGGATCCAAAATGAGAATCTGCAGCGCGAAATCCGGCAACTACGTGCTAGCCATTCCACAACTGTTGACAAATCTGTATGGAACGACACTGCACCTGGATTCCAAGCCCACAGTTATTCAACACTGCAAGTTGCAGGATCGTCTCATACGGCAACTACTACAAGTCAACAAAGTCAACCTATCATAAAGCATCTGGGACGCTTAGTGCCCTTAACACCGAGTGTCGATCGATTTGCAGGGTCAACAACAGGCATTTATTTTATACGCTGTGCCGAATCAATATACAAATCTCTGTTCGATCATGAAGAAGGCTTTCCGGATGTTGTTAATCGGCTCCATTTACTCGGTCCTTGCCCAGAGTATTCCCAACATCTGCATTTTTTAAACCCGATTGATCTAACTCGATCACCACATTTCATGCTCGATAAGACACGAGAATTCTACCTGCGTGCTATAACAGGGTTTTTCCAATCTTGGTCGTCTATCTGGCCAGTGCTCATGAAGAAACAGTTCCTTTCCGCCTTCCACCGGATCTTCGATCGTGTCGAGGCCCACGACCCTAATCTCCCACCTTCTGATTATGTTATTATGAGGCAAATATTTCTTGTCCTCTCTATTACTGCATGGGAAAATTGCTCATCCACAGAGTGCAACACATACTACCATAAAGCCTTGGAATGTGCCCGGCTAACAACCACACCTGAAAACGAGGACCTTCCAGGGCTGCAGTCCCTACTTTTAACTTGTCTATATCTTCAACTTACACGGAAGCACGATGAGTGGATACAAATATGCGGACAGGTTGTTCGACTTGCGCAATCTCTAGGACTCCATCGACATTCCCGACGCTTCCGATTCTGTGCGGGAGAGATGGAGTTAAGAAAACGCATATGGTGGTGCGTTTACGCTGTTGACGTGTAAGGCTTCCACCAACAAACACCTGCCTGTTAGTCACTAATCTCCATAGACAGTGCGTGCAGCATGGTACACGGTCTGCCGAAAATGATCCAGGACGATGATGTGGATACCGACCTACCTGTTGATACGGATCTAGACGACGCGACTGCCACTGACATACCGCTCCCCCTTCCGGGAGAGACAACAAGTATGGCTACATTCATCCTCTACGTGAGATTGCTCAAAATATTCTCCAGCTGCCTCAAGTCACTATATACTACTACTAAACGACGAAACGGTGTCGCCAAAATCACTGCACTGGATCACGAGCTATCAGTGTGGCGCCACAGCGTAGTCCAGTTCCAAGGCAATGAGATGAAAGACCATGACGATGGTCTATCGGACACTCTTCATATGAACCCAGCAGATCAGTCGTCCGAGACACTATTTCTACACTTCTTAGGAAACGTGGCTGTTGTCTTGATTCACCAGCCAGCATTGACATTCGACCCGAAGCACCCTCAATTCATGAAGAGCCTGTCGAGGTGCGTTCGTGCAGCACTCAATATACTCAGCATGTTGGGAAGCAGCCGTGATAACCGAAGACTTCACTGTCTGTTCCCGAACAAGTCATCCATAGTCTTCCAGTCAACACTGCTGTGCTTCTATAATCAATGGACGTGCATGGCATCTTCATTAACGCCAAGCCACAATCTTAATCCCTTTATGGGCAAAATAGTAGATATTGCCCTCAAGCTCCTCAATATGCACAAGTCGGAACTGGTTTCTTCTGATACCGGTTCAAACATGAGTATTGATGTTCAGACGATCTCTGCTGCTGAAGACCTCGTTCGCTTATTTTACAGTCGCATGGATCTTGGTAGAGACGCCTCCGTGTCTTATGAAAGGACTCTTTCTGTGGCCCAGCATTCCCCTCCAACATCATTATTCCCACCCCCAGCTGATCTGGATGGCCATGAACCAACGAATTTTGGACGATCGTCACCGACAGCCACAACGATTCCTCTTGACTTTGGGATATTGGATGACAATATCCTTGATTTTGATTGGGCTTGAGCGATCAATATCGGGTTAATGGTACTGATTACTTGAAGGGGCTGTAAATTTTGATGCCGTTGTACTTTACTATTTTCTGGCGCCATTGAACAATCGTACCGCTGGGTATGACGACAGGAGAGAGGACAAAATCACTCACTAGTTCACAAAGCGCATAGGCGAAAGTGGGCTACAGGCTAGACGCCGTATTGGAAGTAGGCAAAGGTCGGATAAATCGGCATGCTTGGAGAGAGCGTCGATGTCACACGCTATTCTGGTTCTGTATCTTCCATCTAAACAACAGGTACCCTCTCACACCTGGAAATATGATAAGAATCCCAGTGCATAGATCTTAAGCCTAACCTTAGGTCTTAAAACCTCAACGTAAACAATCTGCTTAGACGCCAGGCCCCCTTCCCAAGCAGACCCCGGCAAATCACCTTCACCTGATTAGATAGACCCTTGTTCCAAAGCTTCGAACTTAGAACCCTCCTCACAGGTGAGCCAAAGCAATACGTCAATAAGATTAAGAGCTAAACCCTGCCCTGGACCCACACACGGGCTGCCACATTTCACGCGGGCCCAGAGATAGCGTTAGCAGTACTTCTACCCTCCGTGCGGCGGTCCGGTGCCACATTGTATTCGGGGTCTAGGCGCAGACCTCAGGCCCGAGTGAGGGGATAAAAGTGTCGCAAGGTTGATAGAACAAATACACTAATGAATATTGAAGCGAAGCTCAGGGCACTGGGCTTACGATGTTCTAAAAGCTCGTAGTACTAGGTCCTAAGGTGAGACAACAGATAATAATCCCTGCCAGTTTACCGGAGCTCCGGCGGGAGTGTAAGATAAGTAGGATTCTGAGAATAAATACGATTACCAACCCAGCCTCGTATACCACAGTATTTTACTAAATGCTCTCTGAGTATCTGTCTGTAACAGGGAATCATTAGGACCTATCTTTGGACTGCAAGTCTTTCGATAGGGCTTTCAGTGTGGAGCATCTTTGTTATCCAGGTTCCCAGGGTCCTAAATCAATAACCTTGCATTAGCTGATTGGTACAATATTTCCAAGTCATGTCCAAGTTGTACCCCGCTGGGCTTCCCGACTGAACCATACCCTTGCTATCTTTAAGTGTTACCAGAAGATAGCGTTAAGTGTCTTCGCCCTACAGGGTAGATCGAACTGTGTCCCTGTCAGAAATCGCCAGTATAAGCATTACCCAACGTAGGCAGCAACATTAAACCGATAAGTCCCTCATCTTGCCATTAGCTAGTCCCGCACAGCTAGCATCGATGGGAAAGCAGTGACCAATCGTTCATGATGTGGCTTTGATAGCCACCAGACTAACGCCAGAATTTAGCGCGTGATCAAGCAGGGTCCTACAACCCTTAATACCATGAACCGGGGCTTCCTACTCATCATTAAAAATACCACAAGAAGCATATGAAGACATCCAGTAGATATACTCCACCCGTCCCCTTACCCACACCACTACCCTAATCCCAAACCCCACAATGCTCCTCCCTCTCCTCCTAGCCACCATGCTCCTTAACCCCTTCCGCCCAGCTGCGGGCATTCCCACCTTCCAAGAAGAATACCGAAACAGCAGCTATATTCCAGAAGTGATCGAAACTACACTAGGCCGCCAAATTGTGGCGCCAGATACTCCCTACGTGGCAGTAGCCGGCCGCAATCAGCTCTACTTCCTCGACACGCGGCTCGACCCCGAGACGGCCCAACACATCAAACAACAAATTGAGAAGGCCAGCGTGTCGCAGCCTGATGAATATATCTTCATTGATGAGATTGAGGCCACGGCAGAAGTGAAGAACAGGGCGACTGGCGAAACGACTTTCGTGTTTGATCCCGCCTACGCCCGCATACTGTTCGCTAGGGGCATGGATAGGCATAATCCGGACCTTAAGTTGCCGGAGTACGAGGACCCTGGGGATTGGTTGGTGACTTATGATTTGGATGATATTATGGCGAGGAGGGGTGTGGGTAAGGGGTGATTGATGATAGTATTGGTGTATTTCTCGCGAGGGTCGGCTGTGAGGCTGCTGAGAGTGCAATGGAAGATGGAATGATGGAGACTAATTGTTGTCGGCTCATGGTAGGTTATTCTGGGGGTGTATAAGAAGGCCTGGGGATCGGGGGTCATTGCAGAGTCAAATTGCTGATGTCCAGGCTGTAGGTGGATGGTTCAGTCTTTGGCTGATGTTATCTTGTTATCGAGAGATATAATTCTTGAAGTGACCTATTCTAGGCAACTAAAGTGGGATTTTATTATGTCTCTCCCTTCGAGTTAAAGTCAAATATCAACTTATTGCTACTATTTATAGTGTTATGGTTACAAAATCAAAGCCATGGCCTTGAATACTTTATGCCAACGGGCATTTGCAATAATTGTACAGCTGGTTGAGGTTTGAAACATAGTTATTATCACCAGTAAACCTTTTTGTAGAGAGTTGCTCATCTTATGGCGTTCTATGATGGCATGCCGGTGCTTATAGTGCTAACCCCCGTCTGAGCAATACTGTAGCTCTAGAAGATACTCTACCGAGATTGAAGAGTTACTCAGAGGTAGAGTAGTGGAAATAACTCAGAACCTTATTTCTGACGAAAAAGAGTATGGCCTTGGCCTGCGGGGCAGGGGTCTAGATATGCAATATAGAGTTTTTAAAGCTCGTAAACCTATTCTTCGACAGAACTCAATCCACGACTAATCTAAAAGAAGGTATGCAAAGCTTATTTTTTGAGTTGCCAAATATTGGAGCTACCTCATATCGTGCCATTCAGTCCCGAAAGATAAATCGGCGTGACCATTGGGGAACTAAATAAGTGACAGCTTGTCTTTTCCGCAAATTTTACTTTGACAAGATCTGTTTATTTTGACATTATCTTGACAAGGTATACTCTACCATCTTTGAATCTTACAGGGGCGGTACCAAACCCCAATGTTTGAATATGAAGCCCTTTTATATTCTCGTGCTTATGGTGAAATGGAACAGAGGAAGGGAAGCTCTTAGAACAAGATTGTGATATTTAGGATCTGCTACTCCTCTGGTACCTTGGGTCATTAAGCGCTTGGTATTCCGTACTCAAGCAGCCTCAACCAAATAACAAGATGCCAGTCCTGGTCGTTAGCCATAGGATCAGGTACATTAGCCGACTCATTGTTAACAGCCGAGGGAAAGACAAATGCACAAGTTGCCGATCCTCCCGGAAAAAAATTGACCATATTAGATCGAAGGATCTGCAGAGCAATATCATCCGTTTGCTTGGTTCTCAACTCCTTAGGAAGGCGGATGAGTGCTTGACTAGTCAACGCACTCCAGTAGTGAGGAAACACGTCGCCCCACTGACGACGGAGGCCAAACCAATAATCATCCCAGTGACGGTTGGCGATTTGGTAGAGTCGAGCATGTGGCTGTGACCCGGAGAAGGCCATGAGCCAGTTAAGACGCTCCTGCGTCTCGCCCAGAAGCGTGGCATTTCTAGTCAAATTATATGTGTCTGCGACCATCTCGACCAGGGGTTCCACGATAGACTGCTCATAGCTGACTTCGGATGACGGGAGGTCGCGTCCATCGTTCACGAAGCTCAAAGTTGTATCGACAAGTTTTCTTTTGTACGTGGTGCTTTCGTTGTACCGGCCGAGTTTGTCAAGGCTGTCGCAGAGTTCTAGGATGGCTTGGGAAAAGAAGATGATTGGTGCTTCCTGTACCTGTCCGACTTCGAATGCTCTGTTAAGTAGTGTCACTGCCGTGTCGATATTTGTGCTATTGCCGAGCCATTTGTACCGGTCGTTGAAAAACATCACAAGCCATATGGCATCGTATGGCCTCTGAGTTTGGGAGCATCCGGTGCAACGGCGAGTATTCCCTTCAGCGTCGAATAGAGAGGTGCTGGCAAAGTCGACCCAGTTCCTCAAAGGGATATCCACTAATTCGGACGATACATAGCCCTGCATAGCTGCTAATTGAAGAAGAGTAGGCATGGCAATTCGCTCCGAACCATCCCCCCAGTCGTCCCATGTGCTTGATACAATCGTAGTGAGGTTGTCAGTGTCAATGGCAACAAAAGCAGCATTGAGGGGGGCTGGACGCTGCACCGGCCGCTGGTGTTCTAGGATGTAGTGGGCCCTCTCTCGCACAACAGTTTCGAGCGGCAGGTGAAACGAAATTTCAGTCCGGGAATCGCCAATATCGACGTTGTAGGTACCTGGTGAACTTGCACTGAGTGTGTAGCTACTTCCTCTCCCCCCAATCTTCAAATTCGAAGATGACGAAGTCGGTTTGATCTCTGAATCAACGGTTATTTCTTGGTCTAAAGGGGCCGAGTACGCTGAGAAGGTTGCTGGAGGTTTCGTAGCTTCAATGAAGGCGCTGGCATTATCGTAGAAACCAATTTCCCACTCCAGAACGTACGAGTCTCCTGGGTCAATATGAATCACTGGTTGACCACCAAAACCATTTGGGTCCCTCTTAGCGTCCGTGACTTGAAGAACTATGTGTCCTCGGACGTCAGAGCTGGTAGATGACTCAATAGAGTAGCTCCATAAATGGCCCTTTCGAACAATGAGGCCTAACGATCGGCCTTCGCCTGACATAGGTTCAGCTAACGTCCACGCCCATGCGCCACCAGTGAAAACATGGGCATTCACGGCACATGTCAGAGACCAGAGGGCTGTGTCGTAAAGGTCGTTAAAGGGAGTCTGTATGTGTAACCCTGTTACGGTGATCCTCTCAGGCGAGGTATTCTCGAACGTGTACGTTTCCGTGAGGACCTGTCCAGGGGACCTCGTGATTCCCAGTCGTAGGCCATTATCGAGGGGGATGTTGTAAGGTCCAGTGAAGTTGCTGTAGGGAATATGATCCAGATTCCAGGACTCTTCTCCAGAATCAGTAGAAATAGTACCTGCTCCCCATGCATGACTGCGCGTGTGGAATGTTGCTGTTGTTTCATTTAGAAGAAATTGTCGTTGAGGGTTTGTCCCATCAACGAATTGAACGATGGCGCTGGAATTCGAATACAAGAGAACATGTCCGGACGAAAATGTATACGAATAATTGGACGCCTCAGTAATGACACAGATAGGGATCACGGCAAGGAAATACAGTAATAACCACATTTTGTACCTCTGCACAATCCAATTGAACAAAGTGTGGGGGCTCCAGAGTACCTTGTAATACTCGGTTTTTCTTTCTTAAGAGAGTCTCTCCACCCGACAAAACTCGGACTCAATTAACCCGACGGCCTTCTGTCTTTCAGAAGAGGGGGTTGCCAGGGTTCGCAAATAACCTCGGCCGGGAATGTTAGTAGTAGAGAGGATCAACACTCCCCGGCCAATGAAATACTCTGCCGCATCAGATTGCATATTCTACAGTTTTTCCAAGGATTCAGTGTCAAGAGCGCAATAGGTTTAGTGTCCGCTGCCAATTCTCAGAATCCGGGCTTGACGTGCCTGTCATTACCCGATATAGCAATAGTATAGTATGTTCTGACATTCTAAGATGCCACCAGTCAGATAGATTCATTCCAGGAACACGATATCGCAGGGTCTGCTTGTGATTAGTCCTATAGGCTACTATGCAAATACTAAGAGACATTCGTAAGCGCAGCTGAACTCTATTCGGCTAAATCTTGTTCCAAGCGAAGGTCGTAGGTGCATGCCGTGGCATAATATAATCAAGAAGCCAAAGTACCTGAGCTCTAGTGGCACGAGTACTGAGATGTGAGTCTTGCCAGATCTTTCACGAACCCCAGGCAACTTATGAATTGTCTAATTAGCCAGGGGAGTTGACTGGTTGTCGTCGTTATTCCTGGACTTTTACTAGTATCATTAGAGCTATGCACATCATGTAAGTCGCCAAAGTTCAATAGAAAGAAATACGGAATTGCTGAGATAACACGACTATCCCTGAGGAGATAATAGAGCACAAAGTATGATTGGCCGAAGTTACTGTATTGGAACAGTTTCCGAGAATTCATGGTTCCTTGTCTGGTCTCTACAGCATTAAACTTGGTACTCCAGATTCAAAACTTTCATATGGCATTAAGAGCGGGGTTCCCATTCCGCAGAAGTATACAAAGAAAGTCTACTCACAGGGTTTAATAGTTTAAAGTGTCTATACCCGCTTAGTACGAGAAATCCCACGAATAAGATGTGGCTTGGTTGACTCGGGAGCTTAATCGGTCCCGGTCTTTTGAGTGACCCCGCGATCCGCCAGCAGATGCACCTTTGCATCCAGTGATAGGCTAATTCATCAGGTTAAATGAATAAGTTGCGAGAATATAATTATGTTATATTATGTGGTCATGGTGAAACTATGATTACCCAGGTGGCTTCTGACACCTCCACAGCTCTGTGCCTCGCTGCAGTGACAAGATCATGATGACACTGAAATACGAAGAGGGCGTTGTGGGTATGAAGTATCGCGATGTCCCCAAGTCTTGGCCTCGTACTGGTACTGCATGCGGCTTGCAAATGCGCAGTTAAGGGCATGAGGCGACTTTTAAATAAGCTTGACCTACGTGATAGTATCGGGGTTTTCGTGTTCGGGGTTACTTTTCGGGCTACCGTTAGCTGTTCTTGACTGTTGAGTTTCTCCACGAACTTAACGTCCGAAGTGTTAAGGTTGATGTTCCGTCTATGGCCTGCGAATATACACATTTCTGCTGAAAAACTTGTAGCTTACCGTTCTTGAAAGTTTAGAGCACCGGGGGTATGTGATGATGGCCAAGAGTTCTATTCTAGTCTAGACTACGCCGCCTTCATATGAGCAGCAGTATCACGAAGCATTCCATCTTCCCTCCAAACCTAGTAGGCAGGAACTAAGCTATATATTCAGTCCAAAAACCCCACGACATACGCCAATTTGAACAAAGTACATTGAAATCTATTCAAATTGGATCCCACAGGAATATTTTGGTGCGGAACTTCAACAACTCCTCGATCGACCAACATGCCTGACATTCGAGGCACCACCCTCACCCCCTCAACTTCCAAAATCGACTACCTCGAAGCCTTACGGGAGGCTGTTGGCTCAAGAGGCCTGAAGACTCTCGCCCCTGACAGCGTCGACAGTCCCGAACTCCAGAACTTGCGGCGGTCCCTCGCCAATTCGACTGCGACCGCACCCGGACGGTATACCTGTTCGTCCGAGAAGCCTATTCCCGTTACCATCAGAGGCATCAACAATCGCGCAACTCTCCAAGGTGGATTCAGAGGAGTGATTCCGCGCTGGAAACCCGACAATCCACCACAACCCATTAATTTTGCTGCATTCGCAAACGGGTACCCACGCCCCGGTCTCGCTCTACTCGCTGCGAATGCGCTGAGGGATGCCGCAAATGACTGGAACAAACTTGACCTTGGGGTGAAGTTCGAGTGGGTGGAGGATATTGATAAAGCGTCGTTCGTCCTCTCCTATGCGGGAGACCAGGGGGGTGTGCTCGCGCAGGCATTCTTCCCGAACGAGGACGATCTCAGTTATCTAAATGTGTACTCGGCTGCATTCCAGCCGGGTACAATCCAGTACTTGAAAAATATCTTCTTGCATGAGCTCGGGCATGTGTTGGGTCTTAGACACGAGTTTGCGCCGGAACTTGAGGATACTAAGGATGATTATAGCGTTCAATTCGGTCCTCGGAATCCGTTGTCGGTGATGGGCTATGAATTTCCACCGCAGCTGCAGACTACTGATAGGGATAGTGCTCAGTCCTTCTATAGGTTTCCGGGAAGTGGGCTTGGTTGGAAGGAAGCACATGTTCCGCCGTCGAAGAGAAGATTGTTGCCAATTAAGGATTGTACCGCCAGATGAGTAGGTCTGTGAAGGAGCGAAAAGTTGATTGTTTTGTAATTAATTTCGGTATTTATGGACAGTTCTGAATGCAATTGCTAATGTCGCACTTCATTGGGTATACCGTTGATCTCACTTCGTTAAATTCTGTGTATTTAGTCTAGTAGATGTTGACAGTTGAAGACTCTGTGTCTGAGCTAATCAAGCCAAGACTTCGTTCAAGTACCTTTCCATAGTACCTAAGTGAGATCAAATCATTTCTTTGTAACAATTTCTGCCTGATCATCTGTATCGAATAGACGATTTATCGGGCCTGTCACCAATGGAAGAGAGGTTATTTACCAGTGACCTGCCAGTTGACACACGTAGTGGTATGACCTTCCATGAGACAAGGGGGTACGGAGAGGCCTGACTTCCTTCAACTAGTCCGATTCGCTATCTCCATCCTATTCTGGGTACTCGCATTGACTTGGCGTGTCGCAATAATACTCCGGGAGACGTGAATGCATCTACTCTTTATTATTGGTTATTCTTAGCTAGTAGACTATAACAATATATAGACAGCATTCTACGATGTTTGGCCATGTGGGTTCGTCGATGGAGCCTGTTTGTGGGAATTAACATGCAACCCGTGCAGGGTCGCTAATCTTCTTGCTGGCGCAAAGAGTATATCCCAGAATTCATTACCTAATGGGATTTCTGGTATATGGATCAGAGCACGAATCATGTATATTTCTCTCTAGCGATCGATAAGGGGCACGATCACGCGAGCGATTTATATAGAGCAGACTGGTTACACTGTTATAGGTCGGTTTAGAAGCGTTCGTTAAGCCACGATGTCGCCATTCCGCGAGTCTAAATGGAGATAAGCCAATGAGTAGGGTGACAGGCTAGGGCCATTGTCTCAAGCTGTTGAATGATTGGTTTGCGCTCCGTTGACAGTTGACTAGGTGCTTTGCTAAGTGCAGATGAGATATATCCCTAGCTGCCGACCGATGTAATTGTGGAGCCGAGACCCTTCTCATGACTCAGCGATCTTTTGAAATCAACGATTGAAAGGCAGAAGTGTGTTTCACAAAGACATCTGGAGATCCTGGTGCACGGAATCTTGCAGAGTTGTGCAAAAGTGGAGAAGATAAGCTGGTGGAGAAGGCGGCCGACCAGCACGGTCGAGGCAGGTGTCACCCCAGTCCTTCCCATCCATCAACATCCCCATTGAGTTTACTGTCAGGCATCTCTTTCACCGCATGAAAGCAGACGATAAGGAAGAAGACCCACTATCGTGCATTCTCGTGCCCAAAACCCGGTTTTTGTTATCCCCGCATGGGTAAGGGATGTGGCGAAGGGGGTTGCAACATCCAGAAGTTTCGACTGGCGCCCGGGCTACCACTTACTTAACCTCATCCACAACCACCCACGGAATCTCCCTCCCGTGTTTGCCGCGACAACACTAAATCACAGACGTATCAATGTCTTTGGTGCAGCACGTATCTGTCATCGAAGGTGTAGATCGGGAACCTGAACATCAGGATGATAGCACCATTGCGACCGCGGTGACGGGTGAGCCATTCGCTCCGATCCATCGCAAGATCAGCTACGACGTGCTCCAGCCTCCACCTGCCCCGGTCGAAATAGTTGGGACTCCAGCCTACAAAGTTTCGACCGCAAAGCGACTGGGTAAGTCAATTGAGATAATGTAAATAAACAGTAGCATTCTGACTCGTTCTAGCCCAGGTTATCGTTACTATACTTGCCTGTTGGTTCGCGGCAGGCGTGGTCTTCGGATTCGCTGCCTTGAAGCCGGTTCTGGTCGCAGAAGGTGTCTATCGAGATTTGTGTACCGAGGACGAATTACGCGACGGGGTCGAAGTCTGCTCCGAACAGGATCTAAGGTGGGTCCTCGAGTCTTACCTAGCTGAGCTAGTATTGACTTTCGCAGGTTGAACCTATTCTTTACCATCGGCTCCATCACAGCCAATGTGTCTGCCCTTCCGGTCGGCACTATCCTCGATCGCTATGGATCGCGTATCTGTGGCTTTGCAGGCTGCCTGCTACTTGCGTTTGGTAGCTCGCTGATGGCATACTCGTTCAACCAGCCACAGTTCGATGGCTATATGGCAGGGAATTTCTTCCTCGCACTGGGAGGTACATTCATCTTTGTGCCTTCTTTTCAGATCGCAAACGCGTTTCCCAAGTATGCAGGTACGATCGTCGCTCTCGTTACTGGGGCCTTCGATGCGTCTGCAGCGGTGTACCTTTTCTATCGTCTGGTCTACGAGATGACCGATGGATCCTTCAATCCTGGGAAGTTTTTCCTGAGCTATACCATAGTGCCTGGCTTTATCCTGGTCGCGTTGATTACGCTCATGCCTTCCCACGACTACCAGGGTACGCATGAACTCGAAGTGAAAATCGAAAAAGCAGAAGACGCTACCCGCGATATCCATGACTCGGACGACGATATCGAGAGCGACACGGAGCTGCGACGTGTCCGGAGTGAGCGCGCTGAGCGACGCCGAAACAAGATGCGCAAAATTGCCAAGGTGCTGGGAGACAAGGGGGAGCGGAAAGAACGGGAACAACGAGAAGAGGATCGCCAGGCTGCAAGCGCCGTCTGGGGGGCGCTCCACGGCCAACCTGCCCATAAGCAGATGGCCACACCGTGGTTCATACTGATTACCTTGATGACGGTCTTGCAGATGCTGCGGATGAACTACTTCATTGCCACCATCCGCGCTCAGTACGCGTATATGCTCGATTCGGATGAACTCGCCGTTCAGATCAACAGCTTCTTCGATGTTGCCTTGCCGGTTGGCGGGATTATTTCCACGCCCTTCGTGGGGCTCCTCCTCGATCACATCAGTGTGCCGGCTGTATTGGCTATTATTGTAGTTCTGACGACGGTGATCGGTATCCTGAACTCCATACCTGTTCTGTGGACGGGGTACGTGACCGTCATATTGTTTGTTTTGCTGAGACCACTCTACTATTCGGCCATGTCGTAAGTACACCCATCCACTATTTTATGGAGCTACTGCTTACTGTACTAAATAGTGACTACGCGACAAAGGTATTTGGATTCGCCACCTTTGGCAGAGTCTATGGAACCATTATCTGCGTGTCGGGAATGGTCAACTTTGCCCAGTATGGGCTGGATGCATTGACACATGGTCCCTTTGATGGAAATCCCATACCAATCAACATCTTCTTTGCCATCGCTGGCTTTATCGTAGGGACCGCGCTGGTATCGTTTGTGTATGTGGCCGGGCGGCGACTACGGGCACGGGAGCAGGAAGTGGAGGAGGATGAGGAACGACAGCGGTTGATTCGGGAGGAGAGCGACGAAGAAGACTACGAGGATTGATTGAGGGTTGTCAATATTTTTATTTCGTATATGTTACGAGATGGATACAGCGGGAGTATGGTGCATGGTGTACATGGCGCATGCTTGTCCTTTGATGAAGCTTACCGTGGCTTTACAGGGTAAATTGTGTTCATAACGGATACGATATTAATAGTCTATTGTAATGAGAAGAAAGTACAGCTCCACAGGCAGATTAGAGGATCATACGATGGGGTTCGGTTAAGGTTTGGATCCATCAATATACTTCTCGATGGCATGTAGGATGACATCTATGCCTTCACCAGGATGTAGTAACTATAGCGTCGAAGTATCTTCCAGGATTACCCTTCCTATTCCTATTTACTTTCCTCTTACTTCAATTCTGTCTCTTTATCTTCCGAGACTAAGTATATGCAGTCCTTTGTCAAAGATCATAAATATCTACACCATCTCTCCACTCTTGGCAAGCGGCAGAGACATCCGCCTGACCAGCTCAATCCACGTCAGATGTTCCCATCATCCTATTGATCAGATGGGATACAAAAGTAACATGTAGTCACAATACCAATAATAACCCAATCCTAATCATAAGAATAACCACAGATCATAAGTACTAAGTGACAAAATACCTGCTCCGTTCCTGCCCTGCCGGCGTCGTCATTATGACGTAGCCATCCGGCGGCCCGCGCTCCACACCAACAACCATACCATACACATTCTACTACTTACTTACTTACACTTGCGCTTGCTTCATCCTCATTCTTTTCGATGTGTACATTCTTAATTAATTCCTAATATACATAGTCGCTGAAGCTATACGCAACTTTATTCAGAAAGAAGATTATGGCCTCCATATCCATCAACGCCCCCGGCGCAACCGGCTTCATCTACAACAACGCCAACCTCGGCACCGCCCGCGTCTGCGTCTCCGCCGAAACCCCGGACTTTGATACCGAGACGCTGCGCGCCTGGGCCGACGAGGGGTTTGATGTTGTCTATGCGCCGTATAATAATGGGGGGAAGGAGTATGAGGCGCGGTTGAAGTCCGTTAAGGATGGGTTGGGCGTGGGGGATAATTATGCTGTTATTGGTGAGTACATTCCTGTCGTTCACTGGTCTACTGTATGTTATCCGAGGGGGGGCTAGGAGTAGGGTTAACTGTTGGGGTATGGGTATAGCATTCGGCGACGCCGCCTCCTACTGTCTCGACTACTACCTCAAATCGACAAACTGCAGCCGCCTCGCGGCACTCATCGCATACTATCCCACTACGATCCCTGATACGCGATCGCGGTTCCCGTTCTCGGTGCGCGTGTTGACGCACCTAGCGGGAAATACGGTGGACGTGGTGACTATTCCGACGGTTATTGGGCTGCAGGGGAAGAAACATCGCTCGACGAAGCAGATCAACCCCGGTATCGGGACGGGAGAGAGATTGCAGATCGGCTGGCCGGCGTTCACGTATGAGTCGGCGCAGCCGGGGTTCGCGGAGCATGATTTGGAGGAGTTTGATCGGTTGGCGTCGGATTTGGCATTTAGTCGCACGTTGCAGGTGCTGAGGAAGGCGTTTGGGAAGGATTTGGATTTGGAAAATAGGTGGGAGGAGCAGCTTGAGGGTGAGTTCATACCTTTATACTTGGTAGCTGTTGGGATTTAAGGGCTGATTGGTGCAGCTCGCTTCTTCTCCATGAACCTTACCGGTACTATGGAGCCGTACGTCGGTCATCTCAACCCGACGCTTACTTGCACACCAACCATGAGTGGTGGTATCGGGACACATGCGCTGCGTCGCTTCTACGAGCAGCACTTTCTGCGCAAGTTGCCCCCGTCGATGCGTCTGCGGTTGATTTCTCGGACTGTGGGGGCCGATCGTATTGTTGATGAGCTGTATGCCTCGTTCGAGCACACGCAGGAAATACCCTGGATGCTACCTGGTATTCCGCCGACGAATCGCCGGGTCGAGATTGTCCTAGTCAGCATTGTTAGTCTGCGCGCGGGCAGACTGTACTCGGAACACATGTACTGGGACCAAGCCAGCGTGTTGGTGCAGATCGGACTCCTGGACCCGAAGTTCATACCTGACGGAGCACCCCAAGGCGTGGACAGATTACCAGTTGTTGGACGGGAAGCTGCCAGACGCATCGTCGAAGAGGACCCCGAGGCTGAAGGCCGGGATTACCATAATCGGTTGATTCGACGGGCGAAGGCTAAACGCGGGAAGGACAAGCCGGTGGAAGAGTCGGGGACGGAGATGGCGAAGAGTGATACGGAGAAGGTGGAGAGTAAGCCCGCCGGAGAGAGTAAGGGAAAGACGGTGCAGAGAGAGCAGAATGGTAATGGAGAGGATGCATTGGAGAATCATGGAGCGGAGGCGGATGAGAAGGAAAAAGATGCAGAGAAGAATGGCGAGGAAGAGAAGCCGGTTAATCCGGCTGCTGCTACGGTGGAGGACACGAAAAGTGATGAATGAGCGTGTATACCCTGCATAGTATGTTTGATTGAGTGTTTTGTTGTGTATTTAGCTTGCATTTTGATTTCACCTCTATGCCAATTTCAATCGATCTCTCATCACATCTATACTACTACCTCACTGCTAGTATATAATGAGGGTGTACTACCACCCCTTCCAAGGAACCCACGTCTCCCTAACCACATCCTCCCCATCAACAACATAATACACGAAATGCTGCGCCGCAGTAATACACGCATGCTGGCAATGCAGCATGACTTTCTGTCCGACGTGAAACACATCCTCCACTTTCTTCCCTTCCCCATCCCCCGCTCCTCCAGACAATAACCCCAAAATCCCATGCTCCTGCGACATCCTCACCACCCCCCACTCAGGCCTCTCAACTAGCCTCCCAAACCCCGGCACTGCGCTCGTCTCCTTCGACAGCGCCACCGTTCCGGCATTAATCAGCGCCTCGTTACGACGCGGATACACGCTGCATACTTCGGCCAGCACGCGGACAGCCAGATCCGCCGGGGTGATTAGATCGGTGCTGAGTTGTTGGAGGTCGTTGGTTGGGTAGTTTCCTTCACCAGTATTGTTAGCTTCGCATTGTCATAAGAGGACATGAATATATGTGGGGAGGAGGGGAAGTAGTACATACCAGCATGAACCTCCACATCCACATCCACATCACCATTTACATTCCCCTCTTCGGCTAACAAATGCTTAACCTGACGAACAACATGCGCCGTAGGCGTTGATCCAATCGACAGCACAACCCTCCTCTTCTTCCCATCATCACCACGGTTCTTAACCAGCTTAACACCCCGCAATACACCCGAAACTTCACTCCCCAACGCCCTCCCCGCCTCTTCCTCCCCCTTGGCAGAATACGAATGTCCTGCGTGGCAGTAAAACCCATACAATTCCACCGCGCTACTCTCCTCGACCGCGTGCACTAGCTCTTCCAGTTCGGGCCCGGAGTCAGGGGAGTACACGTCCACGCCTGCGCGGCGCGATCCGACGTCGAGCTTGATGAAGACCGACCAGGGAGGGATACCATCTGAGATGGAGTTGTTGAATGATTCGATGATGGGGATGTGTTGGGGTGAGTCGATCAGTAGGAGGATGTTGAGATTCGGGTGGGATTTGCGCATGGAGTGGAGGTGGGGTAGGGCGGAGGGGTAGATTGGGAGGCCGTAGAGGGCCTTTGGTTATTTCAGGTGGAGGTTAGATTGTGGATTGGAGATGGGGATTGGGGACGGGGTAGGGTATACCTCGTGGAGAATGCCCTCTTCTGCTAAGGGGAGCACGCCGCGGAGTTCGCTGAGGGTGGAGACGATGAGGCCGCGGTGGAGGCCGTTGGCGAGCATGAGGCGGGTTATTTCGAGGGTCTGTTTGGGTCATATTAGATTGTGATGTTTAATTAGAAGATGGAATGGTGGGACACCTTTAATGTCTTCACATGGGGACGGAATGACAATCCCAGCTCTTGTACATCTTGTTGTAAGCGGTGGATGTTTCTCTCCAGCACGGGTTTGCTGAGGACTAGAGATGGGGTCGGGAGGTCGCTGGCTGGACGGCCGATGAAGGATGTGTGGGATTGGAGTGAGAAGTCCATTTCTGTAGTATACTCTGTGGTTGTATATTCGGGAATTGGGCGCAATTGAGGGTTCAAGTAGCTAGATGTGGGCTGTCCCTGATTCTTATATAGTTTTGACTGGAGATGTGGAGGGATGTGGGGCCATCTTATCAACTGCCGAAGAGATTCGCATTACCTCTGCTTACTAAGGATTACTCTGCTGGCAGAACAAATCAACAGATAAATGATGGATGATCTATACAAAGGTATCTATACAGTCTCGATATAACGCTTAAACTCCCTATAATCAGTCAGCATATCAGTCAATGTAAGGAAGTAATGAGAACTCACCAATCAGTAACCGCCTCTCTCCACACCCTCAACTCATGCTCTCTCGTCGCCGTGAAAAAGTCCACAAACTCCGGGTCGAGAATCTCCCTCGCAACACTCCCCTTGTCATTAAACCTCCTCAGCGCCTCCTCCAACGTATTCGGCAGCAACTCCGCCTTGATCTTCTCTGCCTTCTGCACATTGACCGGCGGCACCTTAATATCCAACTTCTTCTCCACACCCCTCCATCCCGCCGCCAGAATCACACTCAGCGCATAATGCGGGTGCAGGTCCGCACCAGGGATCCGCACCTCGAAGCGAGTCGCTCCCGGCTTACACACGGGCGGCGTAATGATTCTTACCGACGCCATGCGGTCCTCCAATCCCCAGCTGATATTCACCGGCGCCCAGAAGTTCTCCACCAGCCGCTTGTACGAGTTGATGGTGGGCGCAAATAGCGGCATGATATCCGGAAGCGCTTCCAGCACGCCTGCAAGGAATTGTCGGCCCAGGTCGGACAGTCCGGCTGCGTCGGCCCAGGGAGCATTGGGATCGGGAGTGTCGCGCGCGAAGAGGTTCTTGCCCTCTAGATCGGTGAGGGAGACGTGGATGTGGCCCGAGCTGCCGGGTTGGCCTTGCATGGGCTTGGCCATGAAG